ACCGTGGATCCCAGCACCGGGGGGACCACCGTCTCGGTAGTCACCAAAGGTAAGGGGGGGGGGGGGGGTGGCTCAGGCAGCAAGGGCAACACGGACGAAGACACGGAGCAGGGGTCAAATGACTTGTGATGCTGGTGGAGATGATAGAGCCATGTTGGAGGCTGATAAGGAGTGCAGTGAGATTGAGCATCAGACGGATGGTGAGGAAGTGACTGATGATGATGATGGTGGTGGGGACGATGATGATGAAGATGAGACGGAGGACGAGGATGAGGCGGAGGAGGTGGAAGGAAAGGGGCGGGATGAGGCGGAAGAGAGCGACGTGAGAAAAAATCAGCTGTATTTTGTCACTTGTAATCACGTCCAGATTGTCGTAGTGTGTACGCTGATTCTCACGTTTCTGTTTTGCGCCGTGCAAGTTATGCTAAGCAGTTGAAGGTTGTGGAAGCTGAATGTATTCGTGTGCATAATCCTGTTCTTTGTAAACAAAAGAAGTATTTAGTCGCGTTAAATTTGTTCTCGTAGCGGGTTATCAGATGTAAATTTCGTGTTATGTTGCACTGTATCCCCTCATGCTTTGTGTTTGCAGTCAGTTATATATTTTAGCACTGTGTTTGACACCTATTATGTAATGCTGTAGCACTTCCCTTTTTTGTTCACACGTTTAATTATTTGAAATTCTAATGTTGAGCGAATAATAAATGTAGAAAGGAAAAGGAATAGATACGAGTTGAGAGTAACTCTCGCTAGCGCTACGGAGATGTGTTGAAGCTAGTTGTCAGGACGTCGAATGTCTCAGTACTCAGTTTTGTGCCTAGTTTTTGCACTTTCTGACTGTATATAGTATCTGGTTACAGTGATGGAGAGTTACTCTCAACTAGTATCTATATTTCCTTTTCCTTTCTACTTCTAATTATGCTGTTATAAAATGTTCTTTTTTGTAAACATTACCCTCAGTTCCGATAATATTCACTGATGAGTGGAACCCGAAAATCGATTTTGAATAACATAAAAATCCTTTAACATTCCATTCACTCGTTGTTGTCTGGCCATGCCTGCATCTATAATACTCTTTATTCCCGTAGCTATGCAGAAGACGTTACTTCAGTAACGTCTGGCGCTAGCCAGGGTCCACACAGCTTTAATTTTGGTATTTGTGTGTTTGTGTGTTTGTTTGTTTGTGTCACGCCTGGCGCTATCCGTATCTGACGGCAAAAAAGCATAGGTTGTTATAAATTTTTCAATTCTCCTTTTTTTCAGGCATATCCTGGGATTCGAACCCGCACTACCGCCCTACATGCATTCCCCCATACACTTCGCATTCATACCCATTCTTCCAAGTTGCTTTACGTTATTATCTTGCGTTTGAAAGCCCTATTTGAATATTGCGGGCAGCTGTATGTGGCCAGCTGTGTTTGATGGTACGGTACGGTACGGGAAACGGTGTCGTATTACCCTCGATCGTACCTGTCCCGTACCTATCCCCTACCGTACCGTGCCATCAAAGACGGCTGGCCACAATGCATATTCAAATAGGGCTTTCAAATGCAAGATCACAACGTGAAACAACTTGGAAGAATTAGTATGTATGCGAAGTGTATCGGGGGATGCATGCAGGGCGCGCGATAGTGCGGGTTCGAATCCCAGGTTATGTCGTAAAAAAAAGGAATTTTTTAAAGAATTTATAACATCCGTATGCTTTTTTTGTCTAGGTCATCAAGGCAAAAAAGCATAGCGTAGGGCCCTGAGCTTCCAAGCTCTCTCGTTGCACTCATAAAATTGCTTTCTCCATGCCGACTCTTTAAGTAAAAAATAAAATAAAAAATAAAAAGTGTGGACGAGAAAATTCTTAGCTTCCGATTGCAACAATTACCAAAGCTATAGGATAAAGGATCGCTGAGTTATGGCGCTCGACAGCTACACAGCTTCACACGGCTAGATCAATTATTTCAAATATTAATTACTTTCATGTTTTCTGAATTTTGCCCATTTGTGCCATGACAATCGCCAATTAAATGGCATATCATTATGAGCATATGCAAGCCTCACTAACATGGCAAGCAACCCCAGAGATGAGGGCAATACAGGTCATGCATTCATTGTGCACCACTTATTATTACGCTTACAGAGGGAAAATATAACCGAGCAACCCTAATGCAAGCGATTAACTGCTCATTGATTTTCAACGGTTACATATCCGGTTAAACTAGGTAACAGCTTCAATCCTAATTTCAGGGCTCACCACGATCATACAAAATTCAAAAAGCGTCGACCACCCTTTTGAAAACATGGCGATGCCGCCAAGGCCAGAGTTTGTGCAGTCATAGCGGCTACGCACCCGAGTTCATGCTCATCGATGTACAGCGATGTACAGTCTAGTCGCAAAATACCGGTATTTTACGACTCCCTGGTCTACTCTGTACAGCGCAGGGCCAGTGCCAAAGCGAATCTTGTTGTTTGATGTCGGGAAAGACATGCGGAGAAGACGTCCTTTCTCCAAGCCATCTTGGTCATTTTTCTCAATCCGCTGGTGGGTGTCGACCAAGATATGTTCGTGAGGTACTGGCGAACTTGAGTCCAGGCATCTACAAGAATTTGCCACGCCTATCTAACCAATGTTGTCAGTAGAACTCAGCGTTTCCTGATCGCGACTCGGCACACTCCTTTCTGTTTGGCCTTGCAGCTTTCACGCTGCGAGTGGGGAGTTTCCTGGCCACAAAATGAATCCCTTAGTCATGACCATGATGAGAGGTGACTGGTATGATCCCTGACTGGCATGAGTCCTTAGCTTGAGTCAACACGAAGGTAAACTCTTCACTTGGAACGCTTGCTGTCTCCTCCGTCCTTTCTTGTTGCACTTGCAGATATGCGCACGGCTGCCAGTTTTTGTTGGTGCGCGCGGCGACGCACGGCCGACCTTCATGTCTTCAAAAAAGTAGAACAGCGGTTCTCCTTGGCCGATTCTCACCATTGATAGCTCATTTTCAAGGTCTTGGAATTCCCTATCGGTTTACCGTCCCCGATTTTTAATTTTCTCTTCATTCACTTGTTCGCACGCCTTCACGTTTGAGTGATTTCACCATCCGATCTAAGCAAAACGAAGGCCAAATCGAAAAATTTGAGACGGTAACCCTCCAAAGACGCAACTTCTGAACACGAATCCACAATGGCCTAATGTCTAAAACCAACGAATTCAGCCAAGCACCACTCAGAAAACACCCCACAATTGCAAGAAACAGCCCGTTTTGCCATGCGCTGATTGGTCAAATCCAAATGACCGTTATTGACGCTTTGTATGGTCGTGGCGAGCCCTGAATTTAAATTCACCTTTCCAATTAACATCCACTCTAACATCATCGCGAGCTGAAGATAAAGAGTTCTATTCAGCACTCAGTCTGCGGACAGAACTGTTTCATCCTTTTGTAGACTCATCAGCGCAGCACAGAGAAAATGAGGCCGAGCCTGTTCTATTCAGTTTGTATGTATGTATAACCCATAACCATTCTGGTCGTAGAGGCGTTATGTGTGTCATAAGGCAGCAGCATAACAAATAATAGTAAAAAAATAAAAAATAAATAAACCTAACTACACTGATAAACAAGCTGACAATACCTATCACGGTCAGCAGCAACGAGAGAGAGCGAGAATTGTAAGATTCATTGGGCCATTCTTTGATATTGGTGAATCAATTGTGACGAGGCGACCACGGGGTTCCAGTTTCATTCAGTATAAAAACCAATAAAAGCTGGTATTTGAAACTCGGATGTTGAGCCATAAATGTAGAAAGGAAAAAGACATTATGGATACGAGTTAAGAGTAGCCCTCCATCACTGTAACATGATACTTTATACAGTCAGAAAGTGCAATAACTAGGCACAAAACTGACAGAGTACTGAGACATTCGACGTCCTGACACCTAGCTTCAACACATCTCCGTAGCGCTAACCGACAGCTTTCCAACTTGGAAGGTTCAAGGTTACGGAAAGATCAAATAGGGGAAGGCAAGCGCAACGAAAAGGAGCAAAATCTACAGTCCCAACGGAACAAATAATGTCGATTGTTACTGGACGATGACGAGACCAGTACGATATTTGACAAAGCGGTCTAACTACAATTCGAAGCAGCAAAGCAGCACACCACCCAACTTGGGTGGGTCATAAATATCAAAGATAAGTACTTGAGCAAAGGAATGGGAAGCTTTGCGAAAACGAATTGTACCAGCCAAAAGCCAAACTCCTACAGTACTCCTCACGCATGACATTGTGATGGACTAGTTGACTACAAAACAAGTTGTTTCACATGACGTACGTTTCGCCATATGGTTCGTGACGGCTCATGAGGTGTGCAATTTGAAACTCGGATGTTGAGCCATAAATAAATGTAGAAAGGAAAAAGACAATATGGATACGAGTTAAGAGTAACTCTCCATCACTGTAACATGATACTTTATACAGTCAGAAAGTGCAATAACTTGGCACACAACTGACAGAGTACTGAGACATTCGACGTCCTGACACTTAGCTTCAACACATCTCCGTAGCGCTAACCGACAGCCTTCCAACTTGGAAGGTTAAAGGTGTTCTTGGAAGGTTCAAGGTGTAACCTTGAACCTTCCAAGTTGGAAGGCTGTCGGTTAGCGCTACGGAGATGTGTTGAAGCTAGGTGGCAGGACGTCGAATGTCTCAGTACTCTGCCAGTTTTGTGCCTAGTTATTGCACTTTCTGACTGTATAAAGTATCATGTTACAGTGATGGAGAGTTACTCTTAACTCGTATCCATAATGTCTTTTTCCTTTCTACAAAAACTGGTATAACAACTTTTTTAAAGAGAAAACTTGAAAAGCCTAGAAAAACGGGTTGTCTCCCAAAAAATTGATCTATACTTCAAAAGTAAGATTTGGCCGGAATATCACAGATCCAAGTTTTTTTCCTTCCATTACAAAATTATTCTTGCTGCTCAACTGCTTGCTAGTTTAAAGATGATTTTTTCTGCACACTTACGTGAACAAAGGCCATTTGACCAACTAGAATATTTTGTGTTGCAACATACAAATGACCCGATGGTGTTATAACATGTATCCTGTTCATTGCAAAAACTACCATTTGATATGGCGCATTCATCTATATCTGTAAATCAAAAGAGAGAAATTGTAATAACACTACCATTATGCCATTGTTACACAGCTCAGCATAATGTGGCAGCGTCCATTTATCGATGAAAACCAGACTTTTCTACTTGCACTACAAGACAACTTTCCAATCATAGGTGGCAAACACTTTTGAGCATGAAGCACAATCACGAATGTAGAAGCACCGTGAACTAACCTTCACAAAAGTCAGTGAGGTTCCAAGTATTAGTTACGTCGGTGCAGAAAGGAGTGAAGTTACTTGGGACTACCGCATAGCCCTGAGAGCAGGTCACAGTTCCATTGTCTGTAATTGACTCATAGCCTTTGGTATTTACGTCCTTCCATTGGCATTCTGGTGCATTTAGCAGAAATCAGAATAAAGAGCAATATTTTTAGCAAAAATAGAAGAAATAACATGGAAACGAGTTATGAAGCAACTATCCATGACTGTACAAGTTACAAGACAATAAGTGAGAATGAAGTTGAAGACACCACTGCAGCTGTACTTATGGTTGATAAATATGGTGGTAAAGACACACCTGGCAATATGGCGGTAAACACACGCCTGCCCACACACGCTCCCTAGGCTGCAAAGTTCTGGCACAGAGCTCTCCTTCTCACCACCACCACCATCAGTTCGCGCCTGGCGCCTGGTCGATGCATGGCTGGCGGTATCCGGCATAGCAGGCTGGTACATCAAGTAGCGCATGGTACATAGATGATGACAAGGCAACGACATAGCTCGATTGCGACGTACGTTTCGTCCCCGCTGGACCAGCCGCCATATTCCCAGGTGTGTCTTTACCACCATATTTATCAACCATAAGTACAGCTGCAGTGGTGTCTTCAACTTCTTTCTCCCGAGTCAAGCTCCGTATGAAGACATCCAAGAAGAAGATTGCCTGATGAGTCCAGCGGGGACGAAACGTACATCGCAATCGAGCCATGTCGTTGCTGTGTCATCATCTATGTGCCATGCGCTACTTGATGTACCAGCCTTCTATGCCGGATACCGCCAGCTATGCATCGACCAGGCACCAGGCGCGAACTGATGGTGGTGGTGGTGAGAAAGAGAGCTCTGTGCCAGAACTTTTCAGCCTAGAGAGCGTGTGTGGGCAGGCGTGTGGTTACCGCCATATTGCCAGGTGTGTCTTAACCACCATATTTATCAACCATAAGATGAGCCAGAGCACGCTAAAATATGACCACAGACCAAAAATTCGATTTTCAGTTTTTTGTTTAAAAATGATCTAACACATCTAATGTTCACTGTGTGAAAGTTTTGGATTGATCGGACATGTCTAAGTGTTGCTACAATGGTATTATATGCAGCACTGTTGAAATGGTGAAATTCTATGTACAGCAATGGGATTGTCATTTTTGCACACAATTGATATGCCCCTTGGTTCATCCTTTCCGAGTCAATTCCTCTGTCCAGGGTCTTATAGCATGAGCTGACAGGTACTCAGCCACATCCAAATTGTCTATAGGCAGCTGAGCTGCTTGTCCGAAATGCCTCCTGTTTGGAGCACCACTGGAGAACCGCCAGCGAAAACACGGTCAACATCTGTAGCTGGCCGAAGAAGTTGGCACTCCATGTCCTCTCCATCACACTCCACCCGTACTTTCAGATATACAGTATACACTGCTGCACACAGTCTTCCTCAACATACTAGACGTCGCACTCATATTCCCCACACCAAAGCCCATCTGCACACGGTTTCTCCGCTCGCCAGAGAGTACTGCTTTCGCTGCATACTGCTCATGCTAGCGATGTTCCGCATAAGGGTACTCAAATTATCGACTTGAGCAGCAGAGTCCATTGATTGTTTTTGCACTTGCAACCAATACTGGCATTGTCCCGGATATGTGCAGCGATGTCCATTCTGGCCAAATCATCGGCCGACTCACCTCCCAAGTCAGTGTCGATGCCAATCGCTTGCCAGGTTGTCATCAGAGTAGAATTCCTCGTCACTGCAGATCGTGGGACTACCAGCATCAATTCTTTTTACGCTCGATGAAAGTGTCGCCCTCAAATGACTCGTCGCTGTAGCCATCATCGTCTTCCTTCTGTTTCCGACCCGAATCCTCAAAGTATTTTATCCTGCGCATGGAGTGCGATGATGTCGTCTTCTTCCGCTCCGCAGTACATTACTACTACTAGGCTCTTCTGTCGATACATCGATGACGATCAGTTTTAGGCGACTCAGCGCAACATGGAATACAAACTCAAACAAATAAACTTACTTGCAACAAAGAATTGCATCCGGAACAGTCCAGTCGACCGAGGAGAACAACAACAGCGACTCGCGTTGCACTGCACTTCGTATTTTTTGCCACGGAATTCAAATCGCGATTATCTCGACTTTTTCAAAAAAAGCTGTGGTCATGTTTTAGCGCGCTCGGGCTCAGATAATAAGTAGTCAGCAAGTGCGATAACTTTATCTCTTTATCTTTCTTTATCTTTGATATTGCTGACCCACCCAAGTTAGGTGGGGTGCTGCTTTGCTGATTCAAATTGTATTTAGACCGCATTGTCATGTTACTAAATGTTCCCGTCATGGTCCTGTAATGGTCAGCATTCTTTGCTGCTTTGGGACTTAGCTTGTGCACATTTTTGCTGCGCTCGCCTTCCCCTCATTGGTCCAATCATAACCTTGAACGTTCCAAACAGGAAGGCTGCGGTTTTGCACACTGGAGGTGTGTGGGAGCTAGGTCTTAGGTTGCTGAATCTCTCAGTATCCTGTCAGTTTTGTGCCCTGCTATCGCACATTATAGCATAAAACTTGAAGTTCATCGGTCCTTTGTTCTTCCTATCAGTCTTATAGTACACTCTACAAAACCATAATAAAATTCAACTGCATGAAGAATGGCACAAGCAAACATTCCCTGACAACGAGAGGGACTGTAACTACAGGCAGGGCAGTAGCAGCTGGAGCAGCAGCAGCACCAACAACATCATCATCAATGACCTTGGTGAGAAAAAGTAACAATAAGCTGAAGTCCAAGGTTGGCACGATGCCTCGATGTTGATGTTGCGTAGGGCTGAAGCAGCACCTTCAAAGCAGGACTAGCCTGTGTGTGAACACAGCGCCACACCAGGTTGTCCACATTCTGCTTCAGTGACTCTGCCACCCTGAACAAGGACATCCTTACCAAGAACAGCTATGCTGAATCTGTAAGAGGGCAGCTGAACACAGCTCTGGCAGCGTGGAAGAATTTGAAGCCGTTGAATCTGTGGGGGGGGGGGGGGGCTTAGGGCAATTTGAGAATGCAGTCAAGGCATACAGGAGGTCTGGCATAATGACAAAGACAGCAAATCTGATGCTGGAGGGAAGAGTGAGATACCTGCATGCTCGCCAAAGTGCACCCACTTTCTTGGCTGTATGGGTGGCAATGCTGTCCAGGTGGGCCTCCCAAGTCACCCTGGAGTCCAGCGTGACGCCAGGGTATTTGTCAGCAGCCACATTGAGCAGAACAGTACCCTGACCCACCACTGGAATGCCCTCGTGCTCTGCAGGGGCGGGCAAGATGGTGAGCACCTGGCTTTTTCTGGCATTTAAAATCAAGTCATGGTCTTAAAGCCTGACAGATAGTTGTGTGACAGAATCGGACAGGTCTCTCGCTGTGGATGCCTCGGTAACGGTGAGCTTGCTACAGTGCAATGCAATGTTATCAGCAAACTGCAGTGATTGGGCTGGGCCCAAAATGGAGGGCACAGCCTTAGGGTAAATACTGAACAATAAAGGATCCAGTACAGAGCCTTGGGGCACTCCACATGTACATGGCTGAGGACGACCGAGGTTCCCTGATATACACCTGCTGTACATGGGCAGACAGATAGTAGCCAAACCAGTCCAGTGCTACTTCAGAAACACCAGTAAAAAAAAGTAAATTATCGTATCCGTTCCCGAAGGGAATTCACGACGGCCGCTAACACCCGATAAACCCTAACGCCTAACGCCAGTGCTGAACATATATAAAATCAGCTGGGTGTGCTCGACCTTATCAAACGCTTTTGACATGTCAAGGAAGCAGACTCTAGGTATAAGCGCTTGTCTCTGGCTTCCAAGATGCGGTCAGTGAGCAGACTCAATGCGTCCTCCGTTGAATGGCCATGCCTGATAGCAAACTATGTGTCTGGCAATACCCCATTGTGCTCAACAAAGGAAATAAGTTCCTTCTGGACAATCTTTTTCAGTACCTTCGACAAGACAGGCAGCAAAGATACGGGAGCTAGTTAGATGGAATAGAGGGGTCACCAGCCTTGAAGAGAGGAGTAATATTGGCACTCTTAAGTTGAGTTGGTAGTTTACCAGTCTGCAGAGATGTGTGAAATATGATGGCGAGTGAAAGAGCCATCAAGTCTGAGCAGCACTTCAGCAGCAGGCCAGGAATCCCATCGCTACGGACAGCCTTGGTGGGATTTATTTCTCAAAGTAACCATGCAACATCAGCTGTGGTAACAAGACTGAAGACAGACAGGGAGCTCTGTAGCTGGGGACCCTCAGGCATTGCGATGCACTGGGTCTGGCCTCATCTGCCACCACCTGACAGAATGCGTTGGAAATCTGCTCAATGTCACATGTCGGCTCACGATGCTTTGTCTTTCACATTTCATGTGGGTTTCGGCTGCCCTCCTCGCACTGATTAAAGAAATCGCTTCGGCCTGTCTGCATTTGCAGCAGTGGAGCGAGCACGTCAAAATGCTGCATGATCTGCAAGGTTTGCTCTATCAGCAATCTATAATGCAGCCGGGGCTTGTGCTGGTTCAACTTGTAAAGTTCCCTTTCAGACCATGGTGGTAGATGCTTTATTGTCCTAGCAATGCATTGCTCAAGCGGAGCATGGCGGTTCAGAACGGCAAGAAAGCGGTTATACCAAAAATCCCACATTTCTTGTACATCTGACTCTGAAGGGTAGGCGTGGAGCTTTGCTGCTGCTAAGGCACGCCTGACTGCAAATTGGTCAATATTGTGGAGCCGGCAGTGTGTGCGCCCGTTGGAGACCTCTGTTCGCAAAAGTGTACGCTTCTCGTTGGCTGAGAATTCAGAAACGAGAAGCAATGTTCTCTTGAACTTCCCTCTCAACAAGGGCCCTTGTCCGAGATCCAAATTGGCAGGTCTATCACGTGTTACTGGATCAGGGGTTGCTGGACATGGGAAACCGGGATCAAGTTTCCACCAAAGCCCAAACCCTATTTACCGCACTGCCCAGAGATAGATAAGTAACAATACAGTGGTGGGCGGAACTTATCTGTACTGATACCAGATCCAGGTAACCTCCATCACCAAGTACTTCTGCGATGTCTAATGGTTTGGTGCCAGTTGGGCAGATGAACGAGCAGATGACTTTCTGAGTTGCTGACTGCGTTTCAGCACCCATTTTGTGGAACTATAGGGCCTCTATCGTTTTTACGAGAAGGTGCATGCTGTGGTACGTGGAAAGCATTTTATTCTTAGCATAAGCATAAGCCAGAAACAGGTTAGTACAATAACAAAGGGCAATGAATCACGACTCTGCCGCAAGTTCGTACAATGCACTGACTATTTGTTCAAAACACACTTGAAAACAATTTGCACTGTATGTACAATATGGCCTCGACTATTGAAAAAAGAAGAAAAATGCACCCAGCCCACTCGCATGCTCGTGGACCGAAAGTTCGTACTGTAGGTACAAGACCACACTGATTTTGTTCAAATCACTTTTGAAAATATTTCGTCTTCACGAAAGTTCGCTGTAAACGAATAATTTTGACTTGAATTGATGCCTGGCGAACCATAGGATTGGCCCAAGTTCTTACAAATGGAAAGTTTGCCTACGGCCCTCAGGCTAAACTTTCCGGGCGCTAAAAAGCCATAAGGCCCTCCATGCCATGCACAACCCAATAAGTATCCCTCACCGTCATCCATAACGTCTGTGTTTGTTTGTTTGTTTAGCTCTATTTTACTTCACCAGAAGCACAGGCAAAATCTGCCTTCTCACTGGGCGTATTGCTACAGTTCTCGCAAATGATGAAGGTGGTGATATAAGAAAAGGAGGAAGAGGAAAATACAATCATGGACAAGGCACAAAGAGAAGACGGAAACAAATCAATGAGGGAGTACTACAAGTCACGAATTGGAATTTGATGAATTTTTCATGAAAATAATGCAACGGATGTGTGTGATATTCTCCTTCGAATTGCGTGGAGGAATGGCAAATAAGCGCCAAGTATCACGCATAACCATAATTCAGAATGGTCAGTCTCAGGTGTTGTTATCAGTCGTCTGATGATTGTAGTCACTGAGCATGAAACTTTGAGTTGCGACACTTCCAAACTGGACCTCTTTCTCTTTTTCGTGTCAAACATCATTGTCCGATTTACAGGTTGCCTAATTCCGTAAAGTACATGCGACTTATATCAGGTAGACCTTGAAATCAAGAAAGTACCGCACATTCCCGCTGGAGTATAATACGACTGGCTTGGATACTACAACCGGTGCATGACCACTCACCACACATAACAAGCATGGGGCAGAAAAATTGTCAGAACTCGGTACTTTTTCTGGTAAGTTTCATGCATGTTTGGTATGTGGATAAAGAAATGGAGCAGAATTCGAGGAATTGCCCGCCATTAGGTTTGTATGGTTCTGCCAATTTCGGTGCAAAAAAAGCAGAATCTGCCACCTTTTCGAGCATTATCCGCCAAGGCCTACAAGGCAGAAGTTTCCGTACCTAAACGACCACACAGAACTATGGGAGGAGCAGTGGAGTGAGTCGTCATTCAGAAGAAGAGTGAAGCTTGATTGCTTTAGAAGGAGCTGTGTGACACCTGTATCTCTCATATGCTGCTTTGTTTTCCGCTTTGCAAAGCGTGTACTGTTTGTAGCCATTGAATGCTTTCGATGGAACTGAAAAAGTGCAACGAAGTTTTGCTCAATGGAGGAAGCACACAAACTACTGCATGCACACTTTCCCGCTTCTCGATACTCAAGTACTCTACAACTTCTTGCACCTGCACTGTCCCCGCACTTTCACGCATTCCTGTATTATTCGTTTGGCCTGGATAGCAACATTTGCGCTCTCGTTCATCCATAGCAATTGCTACCCAGGCCCTTCATAACCTCGTGCTCTTCAACTTTCCATCTCTCCCTCTCTCATCATCTTGAGTCCTTCGTGCAACCTTGCAAATAAGAAGCTTGTAAATGCGACGTCTCTTGTGCCTGTGAAAGCCGGAGACGAGAGCTCACACCTGCTAAAACTGCTCGGCAAAGGACTCTGGTAGCAAATGCCCCCTTCAGGAGCAAATAAGCGGTCCAAACTTGCCACGGCTTCTCTTTCAGAAGCTTGCATTCATCTGCAACAGTTTCCATCACGAGGCAAGTCCATTTTTCAAACCTCTAGTTTACACAATGACCCTGCCACCCCTCAGCTGAGGGCCACTCATGGTCAAGTGTCAAGCATGTGAGAGAAGTAGTGGTAAAAGTGAGTACAAACAGCTCTTTCAGGTGGAAATCACTTACTGTCGCATCGAGGGACCATTATGAATTCTCCTCCAGGTCGAGTACAGTTGCTCGAAGTTGTGAATGGTACTGCGCTGTACCCCATCCGACAGATAACATCAAATGCATGCGCCATTAAACCATTTTGTGGAAAATATTTAGCAACTACACTCGCAGAGTTCTGGATGGTTGGCAGCACACATGCAGCTGAAATAGAAAGAGGAGCAGAGTCACATGAAATAGGGAGTCTCCCGGAGATATTGCATTCCCATTAGGTGCTGAACTTGCGACAATGAATCTAAGCACTAGCCAGCTTGCCAGGCGGCTAATACTGGAATTTTGTTGTTGTTTTCATTAGTGTGGGGTGTGGAAAGAGACACGATAAGAAAAAGAAAATGTTGCAGAGTTCAATATTACCACCAGGACTGGAACTAGGTTCAGATGAAAACTGATTCTCCATTTTCTAAGCCTGTGCATTTGTAAAGGTGAGGCATTTCGCAGTTTCATTCAGAAGAAAAGCATTTGAGCTAAAAAGCTCTTTCCCATTACTCTGCAAAATACTGAACTCCATTTCCAGACGTAATTCCACAACGGTTCGGCATTTTGCCATCATAAAGTCAATGTGATAGCTAGGTAAAGTTGCACCTATAGGTATAATCAGGAGTAGATAAACAAGAGTTTTCAACTCCGGTTCTCTTCCGCACAATCTGCAGATACCCCTGCCCGCGGCGGAATTTTTTTTGTTGACATCTCCTTTTTTCAGGAAAACGCGCATTTTGTCCCAGAGCAGTGTGAGAGTACGTGCTGGGCACCCACATTACAATGTAAAGCTCGGCCAAGTGTATCAGGCAAAACTTTCCAAAAGACTCGCAGCGTGTGCGTCGTCGATAAGATTACGTCAACAAAACGTTCCGCCGCGGGCCAACCCATTCCGGAGTAGCAGCCTCTTGTTTAGCTACTCTTAGTATAATTATAATACATGTAGAAAGGAAGAGGACATAATGGATACAAGTTGAGAGTTACTCTCCATCACTGTAACCAGGCATTATAATTATACGATCAGAAAGTGCAACAACTAAGCTGACAAAGTGCTGAGACATTTGACGTCCTGACACCTAGCTTCAACACATCCACAGTGATGGAGAGTAACTCTTAACTAGTATCCATATGTCCTCTTCCTTTCTACATTTATTATTGGCTCAACATCCGAGTTTTAAATTATAAAGGAGGTTGGCTAATAATGACATGAATGCGTCCTCTGATCAAGACCAACACACAAAAGCTACCTTTATGGTGTTGCTACGACTACCAGCCCGCGCTGTGCAGTGCGAACATCCAGATTTCGTCATGCCCGTGCCCTGTTAGATTGACAAATTTTGTTATTGGGCTTATGTTTGGAAAACCTGGCACTGATGTCAAAATAAGGATTAAAGCCGGGGTGCAGAAAAGGTGTTGTTATCCAGCAGTCATTGGCTTGCTCGGTGTACCATGGAGTAAAATTGGTTATAGCACTTTTGCTGCTGGCATTAGCCTTTGGGCCTATGGCCCTTGGGAGGTAAGTGTGAGGCGTCTTTGCGAACTGTCTTTGTTTTTACTTGTCCTTTTTAGTTTTCACCAGTCTTAATTAATCAACCAGAACTAGAAAATTGAGAAGAAGTAGCGACGACCCGGCCAGACTACACATAATAAAGCCTTTCAAGTTGTGGTCGCTTGGTGTGTTGGTCTTTATCAAGATTATTTAAATTTATTCAGTCAGCAAGAAGTGTGTGTCAATGTGCCATAGTTGCCAAAGTGCTAATCAATACAAGACTTCGAAAGTAATGAGCCGAGCCAAGCAAAGCGGTGACTAAGGCATATTTTTTTGGAAGATTATTTTTTCATGCCAAAGCGATGTTAATAAAACCATTTTTCACATCCTTCAATGATGTTCAATGATGGTTGGGTCATTTGCTGGGTTTGGAAAAGTTGCATCTTACCAAGACAGTCCAACATAGCGTTACTCTATCCAATTACCAGTGTTGGCAGGAATTCATTCATGTAGCTTGTTGTGAAATGATGTGTTGTTTTCCTGTGTTATGGCATTCCCCAAACTGTCTCGACTAGTCGCGTGCATGTGTGATATGAGCATGCGCGATGTTGTAGTCGAGAGTCCTTTTGTCAGTCTTGTTGTTCGTCTCTGTCAGAGCAGTTTGCCTTTCCGTCTTGTAAATATAACATAATGTAACAAACCAGTCTTGTCCTTTGTGTCCTGCGTCCCGGGGAACGGTGTGGTTGAGATTCTGTTACAAGCTCTTTGCGTTATGCGGCTTATGCCAGAGATCAAGTTCGATGGATCAGCCAAGGTTTCCTGTACGGCAAATATTGAGGGTTGTTGCAACTCTGCCAATTGGTGAAGCTCGTCCATCTTGTTACACAAGCACCTGACGTTCGAGCTAATGGAATTTACGACATTATTTTGTATCTATTTTGTAATGTAAGAAAGGGTTTGCTCCCCACACCGGAGCTCGCGCTATTCCGCTGACTTTACTTGACACTTGACTGACTCACGACTGCCATCCAGAGCACACGAGAAGTCCATCGAACCTTCGACACGGTAAACCTGCAAGAAAGCACCACTCCCTGCTCAATACACAGTGTTTCGGGGAATTCACCCCTCATCATTTGAGCTTGAGTAGGCTGAGGAAGATTGTGCCTGAAGAGCACCACTTATATAGTGCTCTCCAGGCACAAACATCACCAGGGATACAAACTTGCAGAGACGCTCCGTTTCCAGCGCGACAAACACCTCGTGAACCCCAGATAGCAGCGTGAGTCAGTGTCGCTCCTGGACGGTGAGATAGACGTCGAGGACCCTCGGTCATTCGCAACGCTGTCACCTCCAAACTAACTAGTCGCAAGCACGCGCTGGGCACGACAGTACGAAGTAGTGGTTGCAACTTTGGCGATGATTTGTAAGAAAGGGTCAAGTGTCAAGTAAAGTCGGCGGAATAGCGCAAGCTCCGGTGTGGGGAGCAAACCCTTTCTTACAAATCATCGAGGAATTTGTCGCGCTGGAAACGGAGCGTCTCTGTAAGTTTGTATCCCTGGTGATGTTTGTGCCTGGAGACCACTATATAAGTGGTGCTCTTCAGGCACAATCTTCCTCAGCCTACTCAAGCTCAACTGATGAGGGGTGAATTCCCCGAAACACTGTGTATTGAGCAGGGAGTGGTGCTTTCTTGCAGGTTTGCCGAGTCGAAGGTTCGATGGACTTCTCGTGTGCTCTGGATGGCAGTCGTGAGTCAGTCAAGTGTCAAGTAAAGTCGGCGGAATAGCGCGAGCTCCGGTGTGGGGAGCAAACCCTTTCTTACAAATCATCGCCGAAGTCGCAACCACTACTTCGTACTGTTGTGCCCAGCGCGGGCTTGCGACTAGTTGGTTTGGAGGTGACAGCGTTGCGAATGACCGAGATGTTGAGTAAGCCTGTCATAGATCAGGAGCTGACATGCCTGTGGCCAGGAAGGTGATTAGTAACATCAAAAACACAATGACCGATCGAAGTAGTGTCGAAAAGAGCGTGAACAAAATGCTCGAGACGTACCCTGCAAACATTCTTCCAGAGATGGTGGACGGCTGGACCACTCTACCAGAACCAGTTAAGCAAAGCATGCTCTCCATCAACACTTTCTACTGCGGTCTACACTACATTGTTGGACTCAGGCGCATCGTTCTGCAGCAGAAAGGTGATAAGATCCTGTTCCGGTGGTCGTCCGGCGGCAAGACACTGACATGGCAGGAGCTAAGGGAACACCTGATACAGCTCATCAGTGAAGCCAGCATGGACGCACAAGGACTGACTACGGAGGATTAGAGAGCAGGTGGGTTGCATCGTAAACTATTGCATTTTCTTCCACGTCGTTGTTTGTCTTTTTGAATTTTTCAAATAGTTGAACCTGCACGTGCTCACCCTTTTTGTCATCAAGTTTTTGTCCCCGCCACGAGTACGCGCGGTATAGTATTAGTAGCCCTGAGAACTGTGCAAACCCAGTGTGCAGTGTGTTCGCTGATATCCCTATTAACAGCCACCTTTTGTTCCTGATGTAGTGTTGTTGAAAGGTAAATGCTTTCACTGCATGTGACCAGTGATTCAAGAGTGCGACAGAGCTCTCGGCCATTGAAGAAAATGTTGGTTCACCCCCACCGTTACACTGCACTCTTTAGCCGACTAGACCCTCCTGCACACAACCGTCGCCACTGCGAGGACACTTCCGTAGACGATATTGATAATTCCTTCAGACAGCTGTTTCGCCAATACATAGCTAGATCATCAGTGAAGGGAGATGTTGAATGATAAAAAAAAATATAGACCAACCTGCTATTATAGGGTTTTCCACTTACAAAACTGGCATATTAATAGGTTTTTCATTTGACCCGACGAGACCATACTGTTGAATACGAAAAGGACGACTGACGACACATTATCCAGTTACGACGGGAACAGGTAGGTTGGTGGAACGACATTTATTAGAGACGGGACAAGAGACCAAGACGAACGAAACGACTACATGGTGATTATTGAAGAGTGAGGAAGAGAGCATGTCTGAACGGCAAGATAAAGGGCCTGGGTAGCTATGGCAATTATGGGCGCGCAAGTAGCTACCCAGGCCAACGGAACAAAAGGAGCCAAAAGGTGAGTACGCGAGTGCATGCAGGCCAGCTAGAAAAGGTACGGGAGGAGGTACCTAACAATACGACGCTTGCAGACCACAGCACGAACAGTTCACCAGCCACACTCCACGAAAGCAAGTAGTATTACTCCTGACAAGTCATGTTTCGTTCCCTAAAGTTGATGGGGAACTCATCAGAGGAGAAGCAGTTGTTGAATGCAGGGGTTATGCTGAATAATGCTATTTTATAGAGAAGATACCGCCGTGAGGTGTAAACACTCAACTAACTCTCGTATGTGACAAATCAACACAAAAGGAATAGTGCAGATTGGAGGTGTTATGAACCCTACCAAACACAACAATCACAAGTGCTAAATCAATCACTATGAGAAGGAGAGGTACACAGGAATAGGTTGCGCTAATTTACACGTCACAAAGAGTACTAAGGTGGTGACAAAGATAGGTGAAAGTAGACGCCAAGTGAAAGCCAACCAATCATCACGGACGTCTAACATCACATCTGAAGTTTGCTAACTACACAAGACAAATACTTCACGAACCTCGATAATTGAAATTCAACCAACGCTAGGTGAAAGGAAGGCTGCTGGGTGTGACATAGAACTGCGGGCTGCTGGGGCGACGTATCCATCCAGATCTTGACTGCAGGGCTGGCGTCTAATGCTATACTCCGAGCAGCAGATCACATCCTTCCTCAGATCAATGGCAGGTTTCCTGGTCCAGGAGAAGTCATAATTCTTTGTTGCCATCGTCAACGGACCTATTGACGATGGCAACAAAGAATTACTGGCATAGCTGATGTAGTACAGCGGGAAAAGGAAAATGTGAAGTACTGTTGATGTGCATGGGACATGGATGCAGCGTGCCTGCAAACTCACCTCCCGCCGACTTCGACAGCCACAGCAGCCCCTGGTGCATAACTCTGCGCTGCTCGCCCGTCGCGCCAATACGCTTGACACTAGCCTTCACGCCGCCAATACTGTCCACAAGCTACCTTGTCGTCAAGTGCCTATCACCCACTGCTGTTGACGCGCTGGGAAGCCCTGTGGCATTCGTCCAGTATATCGTCGTCAGAGCTGTGTTGACGGTACAATAGCGCTGGTAGAAACAGTTGGTTGTATAGTATTGTTATTATTATTATTTGATTCGTCTTTTACTAGGGAATTCCCAACAGGCGTCAGCGCCTTTTACAGGGAACCCTTGTGCCTGATATAGAGTGTGATATCATCGGCATAAAGTTGATTCAATGCATGTTGGAAGCACTGTGGTGCATCACGGGTGTAAATGCAAAATAGCAGTGGGCCGAGCACGGAGCCTTGTGGGACGCCTCTTGTGCAAGGGCGGGCCCCACCTAGCTCTTGTCCTACTCTTACTCGCTGGACGCGTCTGGTCAGGTAGCTTGCAAACCAAGCAAGTGCAGTGTCAGCAATGCCAAGCATCTTCAACTCGTCAATGAGCTCTTGATGCTTAACTCGGTCAAAAGCTTTGCTCATATCTGCAAACACTATGCCGCAGTACTCGTTGTTATCAAGGGCTTGGAGCCATCCGTCGACCACTAGCGCTATGCAGTCCTCACACGAGCTGTTGGTACGGTAGGCAAATTGATTGTCAGGCACGTACATGATGTTGTGTAACTTAAAGAATGCAATCAGCTGCTCCAAGACAACTCGTTCATTGCGTCCGAAGGACTCAATACCTTCTCTTTAATACTATATTTTTAATCATTCAACATCTTCCTTCACTGATGAGCTATGTATTAGCAAAACAGGTGTCTGAAGAAATTATTAATATCGTCTACGGAAGTGTCCTCGCAGTGGTGATGGTTCTGTGCAGGAGGGTCTAGTTATTTTCTTCAATGGCCCAAAGCTCTGTCGCACTCTTGAATAATACATGTGCTGTTAGCGTCAGAGCAAGAAGAGGGACAAGGAGTCAAAGGACAATCCGGAGGACGCAATACCATACGACAAACTGTTCCTACCAGCGCTATTGTACCGTCAACACAGCTCTGATGATGATATACTGAGCGAATGCCACAGGGCCTCCCAGCCCGTCAATGGCAGTGGGTTATGGACACATGACGACAAAGTAGCTTGCGGACAGTATTGGTGGCGTCAAGCTTAGTAACTTCCAAGCGTATTGGCACGACGGGGCGAGCAGTGCAGTGTTATGCCCCAGGGGCTGCTGTGGCTGTCGACGTCTGCGGGTCCTGGGGTGAGTTTGCACGCCTTCATGGCGCTCGGACAAGTGCAATACACAGACTCTCACTAGCTACACAGTACACTGTTCTGGCTCATTATTTCTGCCTTGATAGTCATAGTGATTGATTTTTCGCGCCAAATGTCTGACGCTGCATCCATGTCCTATGCACGTCAACAGTACTTCACATTTTCCTTTTCCCGCGCTTTCACATCAGCTATGCCAGTTTTGTATGTGGAAAACCCCGATGGAATAGCAGTTTGGTCTATTTTTATAATCATTCAACATCTACACTTACTGATGAGCTATGTATTAGCGAAACACTGCTGGCACCTGTCTGAAGGAAATATCGATTATCATCTTCGGAAGTGTCCTCGCAGTGGTGATGGTTGTTTGCAGGAGGGTCTAGTCGGCTAAAGAGCGCAGTATAATGGTGGAGGTGAATCAAAATTGACTCCAGTGATGATTAAAAAAATTAATTTTACGAGATTGAGTTGAGTAAAGCTCATGTTTTGCTCCTGTTGTGGTGTTGTTTATATCAACAAAACCCCATGTCATAACGAATAATAATCATGCACATTGGAAACAACACATTGTTGCGAATCGACCTTTAGTTGCAATCACTTTTCGACAGGGGCGAAACAAAGTCGGCGAACGAAGCCTAGAGAAAAATAATCATACTCTCCATTTCACTGTCACGATGCTGACATACAGTGGGCTTCAAAAATATAGACGCTTGATTTCAAAAACCCGTTATGCCAGCATCTATACCACATAAAATCTGTGATCACTTTGTGCATACAAATTTCAAAATTGGGTTTTTGATGTCCAATTGCAGATCTATATGTGACTAATTGAGAGAAGGACCTGAGCAATATTCCAAAAGAAATTCTCGAAAAGCTCCGGCCAAATTTGAAATATTTCAAAAATATCTTGTATTTTTGAAATGGACTGTAGGTATAAAACGATACAACTAAATCATCTTCAAGAAAACTGTACAGCCACCGCCGCGTTTACTTTGGTCTGAACATTTTCTGCTGAATGCAAAATGTACGAGGATCACTAAAAAACCAGCTACGGATGTACCTTTGTCGCTCTCTATTCCTTTTTCAAGACACATAGGTCGTCTCTCCATATTCAAACCGGAAATAAGACATACTAATGGTCCTTTTCTGCTGCTCCACGAGCGCAGATAACTTACGCCACGGGCAGCATCCATTCCCACCACAATAGCTGAAATGCATGAAAAGCTGCATGCCTGAGTATATGAGTCCTTATGTACAGGCATGTGGTAAATAATCAATTTCTGTGTTTCTGCTCGAAAAAGCAACTAGCATTAACTAGCTACAAGGATTACATCAAAGCATCACTGATTGCACCTTATTTTCGGCAGAAGGTTTCTCCTTGTGTTTGACCCTGACCAAGAATCACACCTTGGAGGAGTACAAAAATTGCATTTCCCAGAATGTCCTTGATTGCTGGCCATGGAGAGGTAATTGTTTTCACTGCATGACTCAAGTGACATATCAGTGCCACAAGTTCACTGAAAATATAATTCTCAATAACTTACGCACACATTCATTAAGCCCCGCTCCAGTAGATCCTGCAAAAACCAAATGAATAGCCTTTATGAGTTTCAAGTGAGTTTAAAAATCCTCTCTGGCTCCTCTTGTGGTATTTTTCAAAGATCGATCTCTTCAAAGCATAGAATGACCAACACACATAAGGAAGTGCCTTATGTTCAGACTACATACTAGCGCTACAGACTACATAATTATTAGCACTACTGACTACATACTAGCGCTAGCGAACTGCGTGCCAATGGTATCAATAATGTGATACAATTGATCCATGTACTCTGAAGTACATACTATATCACACCACAGGCAATTTGAGCAGAACAGGACTCAATCTGCTTTCCTCACTGACAATTTATTTTGGGGGTGTCATCGAGTAGTAGCGTACCCATGCTACCTGCAATAAGGGTGTGGTAGCAGTTTGCTCCTGAGAACCCGAGCGGGTAGTGGAAGTAAGCGGGTGTAACCAGGAAAGCAAGTGTAAAAAGCATGGCTACCTGCTTACTGTACAATATCTATGTTGCACAGTTGCACACTTATTGTGCAAACTTTCAAAAAACACCCGATACTGTACCTCTGTTTCCTGGATATAAATATCCGACCTCTTTACATGGCCTACCCGTTGCAGACCTAAATATAACTATGAGTGACTTACTACTCAATCGGTCTCCGGAAGTCCAATGACTAGACAGACCTTCACAAACTAAAGGAAGCGAACCCCCAAAGACGAAATTTGTGTTGCATTGGACCATTACATGACCTGATGTTAACATATCACTCCCTGATGGTTGACTTTTTATCCATGTAATAGTTGAATTATTAATAACAGGTGGTGATGTGCAATTATTATATGCTGCAATGCATAAAACACACCACACATGCACAGGTGACCTTATTGCTTGGTTATAAGTCAACACACTATCATGGTTGAGTTGTAACAGGAAGCATACTAGCTCCACTCGACACTACAAATCAAACTCATCCTTCTGGACTAACCAAGAACCGAGGGAAACCCTCGTCGTGGCCAGCTTCATATTTTAAGAATAAAATGTAGGCAGTTGTATTCGACTCTCTGCTGTACTCGAAGTACGGTGTTAGAGGTAGAATAATGATGTGTAGTTGTATGGCAAAGGAAGTGTGTTCCTAAAGGTGGATCGTGCGTAGACTACTAGCTATTCATGATACATGAATGGTAATAACAAACTCGAGGATCACCATACAGAGCATGCTTACATGCGGAAAGAGTGGAAATAATTACAACGAAATGAGAATTGGAGAAGCAGTCTCTAAGATCATTCCCGTCACACCTTGCCCCGTCACAATTCGCAAGAAGCCAGATTGCGACGACTGAGACATAGCCACCTCCAACACCTGGCCAGTTGATGAGTAATCAGTGTCTGGAGAACTGAACACTGTAAATGTGGCAAGTACAAGTTAGAGGGGGGGGGCAGAACGTTGCACTGGTCTTGGCTGTGTAGGACCGGTTCTGCCACGCACGGAGCCGCAAAAAGCGTCACCACCCGGCTTCGGATCTCCACAGTCTTCGGCCTACGTGTCATATTCGGCAATGTCTTCAAAGACAACATCGACGTGATGTGCCAATAGGTGTTGGGCGAGATCAGTGCATGTCCCTGCCACGGACAGATGGCCGTAACAACAAAATCTCCGGAGCTGCTCCTGGCGAGCAAAAGCTAATTGGGCTACGTTCATGCTGACTGACAAACAACCAACAAAACGTTCCGACGAACGGAAACAGTAAAACTGTCCTCCGACGAACGGAAACACTTAGGGTGCGTTCTCATCTTCTCTAGCTTCTAAGAGAAGAGAAAGAGAGAAGTCGAAGAAACTGGTATAATTCAAGAGCGGGTCTCGACGAATTTGGAGGTATTTTGCACACGTCAAGCAATATGAAGCGCCAAAGGGATCTTGTGTGATAAATGTAGTAGTCCCGCTACTCAAAGGAAACACCCCACGCCGGTGACCATGTTGCTGAGTTGACGGCAGCGCCCCGGGCAAAGCGCAAGGTTTTTTCCATTGGGAACGTGCAACCTCACTGCTCCGCATCATCTATTGCTAAATCGTGCGCTGATCGTGGGGTCGACATGCCGGCCAAACAGGTAGTTGTGGAAGCGTTTCACACTCCACACTATTGCAAGCGCTTCATGGTCGATCTGTGAGTATGCCTGTTCCGCTTTCGAGAGCTTTCGAGAGGCATATGCGATCAGTCGGTCTTCTCCAGATGGTAGGATGTGCGACAAGACAGCTCCAACCCCGTATGGTGACGCATCACTTGCAAGACGAACGGTCTGTGTCGGGTCATAGTGTGTGAGAACCTGTTGGGATGACAGCACCTGCTTGACCTCCTGGAAGGCTTGTCGGCACTCATCTGTCCATTCGAACGCCGATCCTTTTTGCAGCAGCGCTGTTTGTTGACTCAGGATAGTTGACATCTTCGGAATGAATCGTTGATAGTAGGTGATGAGCCCAAGAAAACTGCGTATTTGCGGCACGTTTCCAGCGGTGGAGCATTACAAATTGCATCAACCTTGCTCGGCATCGTGTGCAGGCCTTGTGCGCTGATGGTGGGGTCGCAATATTCCACTTTCGGCTAAAAGAAGTGGCATTTGGCCAGGTTGAGCTTGAGGCCCGCATCAGCGAGACGTTGGAGCACCTTCATCAGCGTGTTGAGGTGTTCTTCTGGTATGCGGCCAGTGACGATGATGTCATCGATCATGCACTTAATGCCTGGCAGGTCTCGTAGCAGAGAATCAATTTTTTATTTTTTTATTTTTATTTTTGACTATTATTCACAAACCCAACTCGTAAAATAAATGATTATGTGGACAAAAACATACAGCTACTGAGCAGGGGCTGCACTGGGCAGCAGTGATGGTGAGGTACCAGGGACCCCACCGACCAAAGGTCTCGGCTTCAATGCCACAAGCACGCACCAGGAAAAAAAGCAGAAATGTAAAGCAAAGCTAGATCTAGCTTTGGGGAAGTAGAATGGGTAAAAGTACCGGTAGGTGTTTATACAAATAAAAGCAATATGAAAAGATACAAATTACCTACAGGGAGAAAATAATTTTAGTATAGCTATGAATAGGAGACGGATGATCAGAGGATGGAAGAGGAATTGGATGACGAAACGGTTGGTGAGGAGACAGAGGACGAGGCAGATGATGGTGGTGATGATGATCGCGAGGATGACGAGCGGAACGAGGAAGAGGACTATGAGATGGACGAGGAGGAGTCGGGTGGGAAGGAGCGAGATGAGGCGGATGAATGTGTTGATCTTAAGAAGTCAGCTGTGTATCTACACTTGTTATCTCATCATGACTGTCTTGGTGTGTATGATGACTCTCATTTTTCTGTACTGTGTCGTGCGCGTTATGTCCAACAGTTGAAAATCCTTGAGGCAGTTTGTATTCGTATTCATAAGCCTGTTTTGTGTAAGCAGAAAGAGCACGTTGTTGCACTGAAGTTGTATTCGCAGGTGGACACTTCGTTCAATGCCTTCTCGCCTTTGGTTATGTAATCTTGTTACCTTTTTTGCGTTTCCTCTAGTGGTTTTATTGCACTTGTATCTTGATGTTATTTCTAACACCTTTATATTTACAGTACTTAACTTCAGTTTCTTTGGTTGTATCCTTAGTTCCGTTTTTCCCACTGATGATAGGAACGAGAAAATCGATTCTGGGTTTTCAATAATATTTTTGTTATAAAATACACAGTAATACATGTCAAACAAGTAACTTAGTTGCGTGATGTCTGCGGCCTTCATCCTATTCATAGCTATATTAACATATGAAAAGAGATTGTAAATTATCAGTGTTTGGACTGATGTACAATGTACATGTGAACTTCATCAACCAAAACTTATGAACTTTTTCAATAGATCTGATACGAAGCTCGCACAAAGAAGTGTTATGGCTCGTTGCCATAGCGCTGGAGCAGACCCGATCCCGTATGGAAGACGGTTGAGTCAAAACAGACCCAGATGGGTGTTGAGCGTAAGCAGGGGCTTCGAATTGTCGTCCACCTCCATCTGCGTGTATGCTGCCTTCAGATCGAGTTTTGTAAACTCTTGCCCTCCGGAGAGTGAGGCAAATATCTCCTCGATGAGCGGCAACAGGTGTTGGCCGATGTGGAGCTGGGGATTCAACGTCACCTTGAAGTCTCCACATAGCCTGACCTGGCCGTTTGGCTTCAGAACAGGTACCACAGGTGTTGCCCATTTGCTCCACTCCACCGGAGTGAGGATGTCAGCAGGCTCCATGCGACGTACCTCTGCTTCAACCTGGGTTTCAGCGCCATTGGCACCGATCGTGCCTTGACAAACTTTGGAGTCACATCAGAAGTCAGCTGGAGCTTGGCTTTCGCCCCCTTCAACAATCCTTGTTCATCATTGAATACCACTGCAAATTCATGTTTTAACTCCTGCAGTGAGGATTTCACATTCCTGATAGCCGCCAACTTCGTCCAGAGGCGATATTGCTGTAGCCATGTGCGTCCTAGCAATGCTGGCCCCTCGCAGTCGACCATGTACAGGTCAGCCTCCGCTTGCTGACCGTTGATGGTTACAGGCAAGCGCAGCACGCCTTGCGATCGAAGAGATTCACCGTTGTAGGCTTGAAGCACCAGTTTGGCTAGCCGAAGCGGGTGTTCAGAGAACAAGTGCCCGTATGTTGCAGGTGGTAAAACAGAGAGACCAGTGCCCGTGTGTACATCCAGAGATAACTCCTGTCCCGCGATCTGTGCGGTTATCGTGAGTGGTGCTCGTGGCTTTCCATTTGACTGGATCTTGGAGACACGCACATAGCGAATGCTGGACTCGTCATCTTCGTCGTTTGCAAACAAATAATTGTGGCCTGTCATCGCTGAGCCTTTGCGCTTGAATGATCTGGGTCGCGGAGTTGATTACGCTCCTGGCTGCTCAGCTGGCTTGCTTTGTCAAACCCGCTGCAAGTGGCCTTTCTTGCCACACGCATTGCAAACTTCGTCCTTGTAGCGGCAGTCAGGCGCCTTGTGTCCCACGCCACCACAGCGAACATACGTAGATCGTGCACCAGGCACAGGCTTTCGCGATGGGGTGCGAAGTTTGGTGACACCACCGCTGGCGTTCTTCGTATCCATCGCGGAGACTTCCAGAGTCCCTGGTGGCCAGCTCATCAGCCAGCGCGCCCTTGCCGGCGTTGTCAGTGCGTCCGTGGCCAGGAGTTTCCTCCGTGTATCTGCACTCCTCAGTCCGCAGACAAAGCAATCTCGCAGAGAATCTGCAAGATGGGCATTGAACTCGCAGGTCCTTTCCAAACGTCGAAGTTCGGCCACGTAGGAGGCGATCGATTCTCCTTGACGTTGATCCCTTTGGTAGAACCGATATTATTCTCCATTGACAAGTGGTTTCATTGCGAGATGTCCTTTGAGAGCCGCGCAGAGTTCCGCAAACGTCTTTTCAGTTGGGGCATCCGGGGCCAGCAAATCTTGCAGCAGTTCAAATGCTGGACCTCCGAAAGACCTTGAGCATCGTTGCTCGCTTCAGGTCATTATCATCGATGCCGTTGGCTGCCAAATACTGCGTCAAGCGTAGTTCGTACATCGACCAGTTTCTGCCAGTGACATCAAACAACTCAATGTGTCCAAGAGTTGCCATAGCCGTAGCTAATACTAGTAATGCTCACAATACCCAAAACGAAGCACAACCGGAGTTCACTTGTCCAGTACGCAATTGGTTGAATATTACAGAGTAGAGCAGTACAAAAGGAAGATAATGGAGGTAGTCCAAACACACGAGATAGCTAGCATGCATGAATAATGGATGAATCCAAGTGTGGTCATTTGACACTTCCAAAAGGTCTAACATCACCGACAATAACCAGATCAGTCCAGAATGTCGTAAGGTGTTTGACGATTCCTGGTTTAGTGTTATTCGTTGCGCACGTTTCTTCAAGCAATTGCAGGTGTTGGAAGCTGTGTATATTCGTACTCGTGACCCTGTGCTATGTAAACAGAAAGAAAACGTTGTATCAATCACACTCTTCAAGTAATATACACGCACCATTACATTCATTCACACAGTATCACATTCATCTGCAACTACCTTTCTCACATACACTATATTCACACATTGCAAAGGTGCAAACTTCGCTTTTTGTACTTGTTAGCTGCTGTATTTCTACCTGAAACCATATTAGCTACATGTATATAAGTGTGTGTTTTAGTTATTACATTTTTATGTGACGGCGTTCCACTGATGACAGTCACAAGAAAACGTTATGGAACTTGACTTTCTTCATTTTTGCTGTTGTTATGAGTGCACAATTTATCTTATTTATTGCCATTTTATTACCCTATAGTCTTAGTTTTTTTCTTCTTTTTTTTGAAAATTGTTCCACACAAAACATATGATTCGAACTCACCCTGCATGCAAAGCTAACCCACCTGCAAATTTCGAGCGAAATTGGAGAGATTGACTTGCACACATACTTCGGTATTCTCGGAAAAATGGGACGCAATCATGCACAATCGAGTAAGTAGTTTCAACTCGCAGCGCGTGCTCGAGTCGAGACAAGATTTGAGGAAGAAGCTCGGCTACTAGTGCCCTGGCGGATTTGTTTTGACATCGGCGGTTTCTAGATAGCTTGGTTCTCCTTCCGACTTGTCGTGGAGATGAAGAAGCGGGAGAGTAATCCGTCACCCACGACGCGGCCTCGCATTCTGCGTACTGGACGATTCAAGAAGCCGAGGTAGAGGAGGGAGACGTTTCGTAAGGTCAAACGATCGATCGAGTTCGTGAAAAATGGAATGGGCGATCTCCACCACCAACGCCACTGGATTCGACTCCTTCGAAGAGGTCGTTCAGTGCCTGTCTTCACGGTCGACGAATCGTTCATCTCAGGTATCTGGCTGTGGGATTGTCTGCATGCCAGAATCCTGGATGTGGTAAACCTCCAGCGCTCATTCATTGCGTTCAAGAGAAGAGGTACGGCCTGGACAGCGTACTCGTCATTCGGTGTCAGCAGCGTGGGATTGAGAATTTTATAGATACATGTACGCAGATTGAGTAGATACACGTACATGTAGCCGTGTAATTGCTCAACACCCTGGCCCCTTGCTTTCACAAGCAACACTAAAGCTGCTTTTGGTAAGTGTGTTTTTCAACCTCATAAGATTTATCCATGATATTTGCGAGTCATTGCCACCCTATGGCTATGGACATGTATGAGCACACTGTATGCGCGGTGCGCGCGAGCGTGTGTGTGTTTGCATAGACCTGCATGTTTGTGCATGTGTGCCCCATACGCATGTATGAGCTTGCACATGCATAATTATGCGCTCATGTTGATGTGCCCTCGCACACATACTTTACACTCGTGCATGACCGCTCCAAGGGCATGTTGGTGTGACATGTGTATGCGGGCATCTCAACTCATGCACATGCATGTGCACATGCATGTGGGTGGGTACGTACACGTGCGTGAATGTATGGGTGTATATTAGCGCGCGCGCACGTGTGTGCTATTGCGTCTGAGAGCATGCATGTGTGTGTGTGTGTGTGTGTGTGTGTGCGTGCGTGCGTGCGTGTGTGCGTGCGTGTGTGTGTGTGTGTGTGTGTGTGTATTGGCGTGGGCCCGCGTTTTTTAGTGTGTCCAATGATGAGTGTTTCCAATTCTGACTGCCTGTACTTTCATCCCATTATTGCGGTTCTATAATTGTTTTATGTTACATTTGTGTGTGGGGGTGTGCGTGTGTGTGTGTGTGTGTGTGTGTGTGTGCGCGCGTGTGTGTATGTATGCATGTATGCGTCAATGGTGTGAATTTTTGTGCTGGGTGAACACTCTGATCCCTAAACCGCGATACTGGAGCTCCCAAGCTACAGCCCCACATCGATTTATAGTTCATCTTTGGGATTGAGTTCGCTGCTCATAATTCTTTTGTTGATGTAGCATGCGGCCCTAGCTGAAATTGTCGAAGCTTGCCCTTATGCCAGTATCCTGTAGCACTCCATCATTTTTGCAGCATGTTCGGTGATGGAGTTTGCTGAACATCAGCCAAAGCGGCTGGCTACACTTCAACCGTGGGTCCATGCAAAGTTCTTCTCCAAATCAGTTGCAGTGCGGGCAGCTGATAGTGGGTTGGTGATGAAGCACTTTGTCCTGGCCCACAAACGAAGTCGTAAGCTAGCCTTTTCTAGACTGATGAAGGAGCAAGTCGGAGGTAAGAAGTGGGTGACAGCCTCAAGGAAGATTATATGATTGGTGGCTTAATAGCCAAGAACCAGCAGCAACCCAACTTGTTTGCGCGCACCATAAAATACCCTCATTTTTGCCAGTGTGGGGACACGTTCAAGCTCACATAGTTGAAGAACAAGAGGACTAATGTTTCGTTCCAACATGTCAGCTTTAATTGTTATTTGATATGGGGCTGTGCTAAGCGGTATCACACCTACATGTACATGTATCAAAACCAAGTACCAACAGGAGAGTAATTATGGAGAAAAGAACCATCGATAATGCGTGCATCTAGGGGTTTCCGGAAAATTCACTAGTTCAGCTCTTCCATCCTTATTGTTCTGAATGCCGAGGGCTCTAGAAAGTTTACGCAACACCTTACAGCCAAAAATCCAATACATTTTGACCAAAGCAGCAGCCGAGATGTACAAGCAATACAGATACGTGAATTTACCAAATTTAGCCTATTTTGAGTTTTTTGGATTCTTCTCCAGAATATGCACCTTGACCCCTCTTTTCGGACAGGAAACCTGTTTCTACCCACTTATAGGAAGTACTTGAAGTATCCACATATGGGGCAATCTCAAAAATAAGTTTCAAAAAAATTCAAAGTTTCCTCTTTTTACGTCTTTTTGTCCTTCTCCAGGAAATGACGATCTGGATTTCATCGTCAACCAAAGTGTAATTTTTTGGTGTTGATGTCATCTTAGTCAATACCTCGAACACTCTGTATTATTTTTATGTCATATTTTCTGTCGTAAATGATGTCATGGACGATTATTCATCAATTTTGGGATTTACATTTTGCACACCTGATGAGCCGTCATGACCTATACGGCGAAACGTACATTGTGTTTCCACAATTTTGGGATTGTGGGTTATTTTGTGTCATCAAGGAAAATTTTGTTTTTGGCAAGACCTATTCGGGAAATTGAAAACTGATGTCACTAAGCGAAAATATTAGGCTGTACCTATGGAAACCTAATATCAGATTGGGCTGATCTTGAATTTATATTTTTGGGCCTAACTGTCCCGAGATCCCTTAAATGCAGAAATGCCAAATGATCTGGTCAAAGTACACCTCACCTACACAAAGGACCCGAGCACTACCAGATTCTCCAATTGAAGGTCGACCACTTGTCCACGAATGAATATTTGCATTCCTCAAATGATAAACACCACGAAACTCCTGGATCATGGTGCTTATACAGGTATAGTAAGATTCAAAAGGAACCACCATGTTAGCGTCCCTACAAATTCTCACGGCCGAGGAATGACTGACCCGTTCAAAATTGTACCCAGGTGGAATATTCAGCGATACATGTCCGCACATGTCTCTTTCACCTAGATACGTACCTGTTGGGAGGGAGGGGGAGACACATAATTATTATGGAGGCAGAAAAAGAGTTGTACCGAAAAGAATTTTGTGAATGTGTAGCGTTGGCACGCTTGGAACTTTCACAGTGTATAGCGGATAGTGTTTAGCGTATAGCGTATAGCCTATATTTTAGCTCATCCCTGTACGGTAGCGTGTCCCTGTACGTTACTGTTTCCCGGTACGTTAGAATATCCCCGTACAGTGTCCCCGTGCGTTAGCGTTTCCCCGTACATTTGTGTACGGAGTCTGCCTGTGTATAAAAGCTGCTGCTCACGATTCTTTTGTTGTCAGTTAATTTCATTGCCAGTAATTTCATTGCCAGTTAAAATTTCATTGTCAGTTAAAGTTGCATTTCAGTTCAGTTCAATGTTTAATAATTACTAGTGTGTTCGCTGAGACCCTTGTGTATTCTTGCCTCCGAGAGACTGCGGCCCGCTACAAAATTGGTGGCAGCGGTGGTTAAAGTTACCTTTGTCAAATTCGACCCCACCTGTTTGGTTGGTTGGTTGGTTGGTTGGATTTATTTAAAGTCGTACAACAAACAGGCATATGTGACTCCTTATATGAAGACGACTTCTGGCAGTAAAACATTTTAAAGAAAAGAGAAAGGAAAAAAGGCAAAAAAAAGGAGAAGAGAAGATCAAGAATGTATACTGAGCATCAGGATTACGTTTACATTGGTAGCAATGGTGCTATAAAATTGGTAGCAGCGGTAAATTGTTTTCTCGTTCCGTTGGACCAGCATAGCAAGTGTCCCGCCATATCCACATCTCCCATACTTGATGATTTTCTTTTCATGCTATGAGGTGTTGTCAATAATACTATCGCCGAACGACAGTTCACAGAGTGACAGTTCACCGACCAACAGCTCACCGAACGACAACTCACCGAATACCCAGTTCACAGAATGCCTATTTCACCGAATGCATGGCCCAACCGGATGCGCCAGCTGCCGCTCCTCCTACACATGCCTGCCACATCCATTGATAGCTAGAAATGATGAAAGACAGCATCTCTACCGATTAATCTCCATGCCCAACGTAAGCTAATTCCTGATATGGCATTTTCTCTCCTGTCTTCCTTCCGTCTTCCTGTTCTCTTCAGTCTTCCTTTATGCGAGTGAGTGAGTCCAGTTTAGTTTGGTAGGCGTCCGATCATGGTGAGCCATGGTCTACCTAGCTAACCTAGGACAATGTGTGTGTCAATGCCCCTTATATTGTATTAAGTTCGGTTCTGAGCTTCGGTTTTGCTGGCAGGTTGTGCTAGAGTTGTGCAGCAATAGTGCTGTGGTTTTCAGGTCCTATTTGGAGGACGGTTCTTTCCCTTTTGGCCCCGTGAGATTGTGTGAACCTGGTGTGCTTCTACTTTATGATTTGTTTATCAGTTCATTCTTCTGTCTATTCCAAACGTTATCATTTCCGATATTATTTGCCATATCCCGGTTGAAGCTCTCCCAGTAATTCGTGATCTACTATAATGTTCAATGTGACTTGCTTTCGTTGCGTCCGGATATCAACCGAGGCTGTTCACGAATACATGCCTGTATATGCAAGTCATCCATTCTACCTATCTCCTATCATCGAGTTTATTCCGACGCGACCATGCATGTAGCCAGTTTCTTCAAAATCGCCGCTAAATTTTGATCCAGCATTTGATGTTGAGGAACTAACCCGCTTGTCTCGTAATTTCACTGTCGCTTTACGGCGCATTTGAAGTTGAGAAGAAGAAGTAGCGACGACCAGGCCATTAATTTATGGAATCCAATACACCACACCACCACATTGCGCTATTGGCCGATCCAAACTCTGCACTCACATCACCATCACCACAGCGAGGACAATTCCGGTATATAGGTTGATATTGACAATGACCCTCCAGACAGATGTTTCGCTCCTACTGAGCTCATCAGTGGAGGTATATGATGTTGAATGAAAGAATAATAAGAATAGACTGATCTTTATATACATTCAACATCATTCCTTGACGTGTTCACTGCTTCGCCCGTACTTTCACCTTCCGCTACTGGTTCCGCCTTCTCGATTTTTCTCAGTCGTGTCTCCGCTAGTCTCTGGCTTCTCCTCAGATTCGTTTTTCCTCCATTTTCGTTTCGTTCTCCTGGTGATCTTTCCGTTACCGCCGTCGGGTTTGTTAACGAACGATCGTCCGGCGGTCTCCCACGCCATGGTGTTGTTGTCAAGAGTGACACCAGATTCATGTGTTGCGCTCCTGTTGATTCCGGTGTTGTATCCATTCCTGGTTGTGTTGTAATACTGACAGGCGTAATAATACCCGCTCACCAGTTTTGTCCACACGCACTCACAGCTGCCACATTCACCTACTGCTACAGTGGTCCCTCTATAATCCGGCACCATTTGTGCCACGAAAATCTGCTGGATTAGGGAGGGTGCTGGATTAACAAATCTGATTTACTGTTGCAATGTGCATGAAAAGGACATTTTGGCTACTGAAAATTGTGCTGGTTTATCGAGGGTGCTGGATTATAAAGTGCCGGATTAGAGAGGGACGACTGTACCATTCTCAGATACTTGTACACTGCAAAGGTTCACACTACACGCGTTATGCATAACCGCTAGCTATGCTGCATTCTCACGCTTCTTTTCATATTACTCTAGCTATATAACTGGTTGTTTTAGTGATTCTTACTATATGACGATGTTCCACTGATGATAGTCACACGAAAACGTTCTGGAATTGTTTAATTTTTAATTGTTTTTACATGGTTATGAGTGCACAATTGATATTTTTCATTGCTATATTAGAAAGGAAGTGTCTACTGCATTGTGTGGATTTACGTCGTTGCATGCGAATACTGATTACGAAACTGTTTTTTTTCACCGCCTCCAAACTTCCTTTTGAATTATTATTTGAAACTCGGATGTTGAGACATAAATAAATGTAGAAAGAAAAGGACATACCGGTATGAATACGAGTTAAGAGTAACTCTCCATCACTGTAACTGGGTACTATATACAGTCAGAAAGTGCAATAACTAGGCACACATCTGACAGAGTACTGAGACATTCGACGTCCTGACACCTAGCTTCAACACATCTCCGGAGCGCTAACCGACAGCCTTCCAACTTGGAAGGTTCAAGGTTATAGAAAGACCAAAGAGGGGAACTTCCCGGGCTGGAGCCCGTACCGCTCAGTTTTGTACAAAACACCCGGGTGCGACACTTTGTCGAACACTTCAGCAATATCCACTGCCAGGACGCGCACAAGTCCTCCACTGTTGGCAACTCGGCTCCATTCGTGTTGAAGAGCTACAGTCCATTCACAAAAAGATGGCCCAAGCTCTGGCGAGCTCCTGTATTAGGCGATATTTCAAGATTTTACCGTACACAGTGAAGTGCTGTGAAATTTAAAATTTGAAAAAGGGTCCAAAAGGGGTACCTGAACTGGGGTTCGAACCATACAATGCACTGTTGCAGGCAGGGTCTGTAGCGATCTGACTCACTACTGTCATTATGTCATTTCTACATAAGCATGCGCAGGAAATAAAAAACATTCTCTTCGGTGACAACTTCTTCGTTGTCCGGTTGGCCAAAGTAGCCGTCGTCTAGGGCTCGACATAAAACCCTATACAGGTCCTCCCTCGTTATAACGAGTCCGGTTAGTACATAAACCCCGTTAGTAAATAGAAATCTGAAATCCCCTGGCGAAACGTGGTCTATACAGCTGTTTACAGGTCCGGTTACAACATAATCCGTTAGTACATAAAATCCGTTATAACGATCCTTTGCCCAGGTCCCTGGAGTGCCAAACCCTCAGTATAAGATAATATTGACCATGCATGACCAAGGCCAAAACACGTAGGATAAAGCAGAAAGAGAAAACGTATTATGTCTATGTATTCGTGAATATGGACGATCCTTTGCAATGTTTGCATCCAAGGAAGAGTTATATTGGAGATTTTAAATTATCTTATAACGAGTTGAAGCATCGATAATTTATGTTGTATCGAGGGTAGCCCGGGTAAGTACGAAGTAGTGCCTATTTCACCTTTAGCTGCAAGTCCTGCTACAAGATAAGTCTCGTTATAAGATAACTTTTTCGATGGCCCAGAGATTATCTACTAACGAGGGAGGACCTGTATACCCTATATTGGTGACCCCAGACGCGGAGTTTTGAGCATGCCATCCCCGAGCTCGGCCCGCCGCAGTTTCCTGCTCGCCTCAACACTCGGGATCGCGGCTGTTGACGTAAAACTTGAGCCTCACCACCACGCGACACTGGATCGGCCACCCTCCCCGGCCCACCTGGATGCCCCGCTATCCTGCCACGGCATTGTCCAGTCGTCCGTATTCGTCCATCTTCGTCCTGGCCTTAAGCTGGAAATTGGCCACCTCCACCATCCGTACCACCTCAACTGTGCACGAACGCAGGCACACGCTGACGCTGCGCACGCCTCCACCCGTCCCCGCCTCACTCCGCACGCCTCGCCCCAGTGCAGCGCTCCTGCTGGTTACCCGCCAAGCCTGCAACATGCAGCCGCCTCTGACATGATAATACTCCCCTGTCACTCCTACATTTCCTCGTTCCGCCTCTGACACGATAATACTCCTCTGTCATGCATACGCTTCCTCTTTTCTTTCTTTCTGCCTCTGACATACTCTCCACCTCTGTCACCTTAACACACCTCTGACACGTTAACCCGCCTCTGTCATACATCTCTCTCTTTCCTGCTTTTCTGGTTTTTGCTTCAGCATTTGTGCCACGTTGTTAACAAATTTCACACACGCAGCGCTCTTGCTTGTACATATTATGTATCATATTATTATATGTTTGCCTTTCCGCCTTGTACATGCTGCACTTCCTTTCTCTTCTCTTTCTTTTTTCTTGTTTATCGTGCTTCGCTCCTCCCGACCTCACCACTGGTGGGGGAGTACTGTAGCGACCTGACTCACTACTGTCATTACGTCATTTCTACATGCGCAGGAACTAAAAACATTCTCTTTGGTCTCAACTTCTTTGTTGTCCGGTTGGCCAAAGTAGCCGTCGTCTATAGGGCCTGATGTAAAATCCTATAGGTCAAACGGCCTGGATTTTGATGGGTTTTCCCAATTCAGTGCTCTTGGGGCAAAACCTGGCCGAAATCCTATTCTTGCTATGGCTTGCTTTTTGGAGAAATAGACTGCTGAAACATGATTGGAGAAAGGAAAAGGACATTATGGATACGAGTCATTCGACGTCCTGACACCTAGTTTCAACACATCTCCGTAGCGCTAACCGACAGCCTTCCTTTCTACATTTATTTATGGCTCAACATCCGAGTTTTAAACATAATTGGAAGAGGATTCCATAGGGGATTGCAGAAACATATTCTAAAAAAACTCAACGTTTGACCCATTTATGGCCAAAAGCTAGAAATCCATCTTTTTCTGAATGGACTGTAGGAGGAGGTCGGTTGCGCCAAGTCCAGAGCAGAAGCCAAATTGGTGAGCAGAGAGAATAGAGTTGCTGTCGAGAAAGTTTGTAGTGCTCCGGTTGATTATGGTTTCCATACATTTGAAGATAATGGAGAGAAGGGATATTGGATGGTAGTTTTTCACACAAGATCTTCAGCCCTTCTTGTAAACCGGGACAATGTTTGCCACCTTATAGCCAGATGGCTGGTGGCCTTGTCGGAAGCAGAGAGAGGACAGACGAGCAAGCGGGCGTGCACGCGAATCTGCACACATCTTAAGCACCCGACAGGGGACAGTGTCAGGGCCACTTGCTTTTGACGGGTTGATGGCTATTAGCACACGCCTCACAGTAGATTGGCGAAAGTGCACTGTTGTTATTCTGTGTAGTGAACGCTGTTTGACATCCAGAAAGGCGGTAGCAACATCACTGAAGTCAGTCTCTAGACTGCATTTTCAATGACATAAAAAAAAGTAAATTATCGTATCCGATCCCGAAGGGAACTCACGACGGCCGCTAACACCCGATAAACCCTAGCGGCAGATGCAGCGCCTAACGGTGGGGGTGAGTGGGTAAGTCTCACAACCACTGGCACAAGTGCCGAAAACGACCCCATTAGCTGCATCCATGTACCCCTTGTGCCTGGCCACAAGTTCCCAGTTGACTGTGGGTAGCAGTACGGCTGGAAAAACCGCTCCCAGGCAGGACTTGAACCAGGTACCTCTCGTATCTCAATCATTGTCTTTGACCAACCCACTGTGCCTGCCGTAGCTTCACATAATCTCGTCTTTGTCACGATTCAGTGTGTGCTCCTGTCCATCAGAGACAATAGGAACAGGCACAGTGCTATCGCGAACACTTCCACCTGCACGCTTAACCATGGACCACCACTCCTTGTTCTTCAGACTTAGTAACTCACACTCCCTGTGAATCCACACAGGCGGGTAGGATGCAGCCCTCACCGTACCCACACACTTCACGTGCAAATTAGCATGTGTGGACCCCCAAGTCCTAAAATATTCACTGGTTTGAAGGAAAGACACGAACTGGAAAAGTGTGAAGAAATAATTGACTGTCACCACCAGGACTCAAACCAGAGACTCTCGCTTGTAGCTAGCGATAGTCTAACCACTGCGCTATGGTGTAGTCGTCATCCCAGCAGAGACTGTTCAACATTCTATTCAGACTTCGTAACTCACACTTCCTGTGAATCCACACAGGCGGGTGAGACGCAGCTCTCACGTGCCCAAACACATCACGTACAAACTAGCACGCGGGGAGCCCCAAGTCATAAATTAACTGGTTTGAGGGAAACACACTTTAAAATAGGCATGAAAAATGAATTTTCCAAAAATTATGCCTGTGCCACCTTTTAGCTTGGCTTGGCTCATATGATGCTCTCGGCCTAGTGTTGTGTCTCAAAAAGATCATTGTTTATATAAAGTTTTTATGATATTTCAAGTGAAGTGTGACTGTGACAGCCTATAGGCCCATATTTGGTGAATGGATTATAGTTAGACTATGTGTGTACTTCGTACTGGTGGATAAACCAAAACCTAGGCTAACTGCCGCCAGGTCTGAGCAATTCAACTCACTGCTTTCACTTACGAGAGCAATTTGTACCATTGTAATAGTAAGGCATTCTACATTCACAATGTCCTGTCGAATTACAGAGGGCATTTTGCTGGCACGTGACCGATGAACAAGCAGCAAATTCTGAAATTAGAAAAAATCAATGTTGAATGCAGATCATAATAATTATTATGAAATGTTATTGCCAATATGGTGAAATTGATGTTTTATGAAAACGAATGCTAAGGCGCACCAGTCCACTACTGGTAATCTTAACCCTTTACGGATCTACCAAAAGAGAACCGATACTATAGCACTGGTGCATGTGACCCTCATTTTCAGGCTTTTGTGGCTAGGAGACAACACTTACCAAAAAAATTCCCGCATCTATATACTGAAAATTGTTGAAATTGGAAAAGACAACCATCCGTCATGCGTGCTGTTCAAAAACTGGAGTCTCTTGAGGCCGTGTTTGACAAGCATTCTGAGAGTAGCAACAATACCGGTCCAGGCTAGATATTCCAGAGGTTTTGCAGTGTAGTGTATTGAGAGAAAGAGCTCCGAGTGAACAATCCACGCTGATGATCCGTTTGGGTCTACACAATTTTGCTGTCAAACCGTTCCTATTTGAAACACCCTCCTCTACATGTGTTTGGGTGCCCCCTCCTCAGTTATTTAACGCAGTTGAAGACTCAAGAACCTGTCTGCATCATTTGCAACAAATAATATCATAATAAGAAGAGGTTTGTGCGACTTCGATGATAATTGCTTCTGTTCAGCACCTCCATGAGCGACACTGACTTGCGCTGCTATCTGGTGTTCACGTGGTGTCTGTCGCGCTTGAAACGGAGCGTCTCTGTAAGTTTGTTTCCCTGGTGATGTTTTTGCCTGGTGAGCACTATATAAGTGGTGCTCTTCAGGCATAACCTTCCTCAGCCTTCTCAAGCTCAACTGATGAGGGGTTAATGAGCAATGTGAGTATGTACATACGGAAGAGATGACAAGAGGTAGGATGTTTGCTTTGAAATCTTGTCTGGGGTATATTGTCGGAGGCTAAGTGGGGTGCTATTAAAGAAATGAAGTGAAGCATAGATGGGGAAGTCTCTTAGCTGGTTTGCGTGTTGTGGGTAACTCAAAGGTTCGGGGAACCTGAGCGTGCGAATGGGTTGTATTCGGGGTAGGTGAATTGCAAGAAGGCGTGGTGTTGCATATCTATGATGCAGGCTATGTGCATGAATGACATGGAAGAGGGTACGGCGGCTGCTGAATGATAGCCATTTGAGCCAGTGGAGCAGCGCGGAGTGGGTTCTGTGTTCAAATAGGGGAGATGCAAACAGAGGCGAGCGGCGCGCCGATTGATGCGCTCAAGCCGGTTATTGAGGGTTGCGGGGAGGGGTGAGAGGTCAGTGCAAGCATACTGAAGAATACTGTGAATGTAAATTAGATAGATGTAGGAGAGAGCAGAAGTGTAGTCGCAGGAGAAGGAACATCTTCCTCTTTAAGGGGACAGTGAGGTTGGTATCGTTGAGTCGGAGTGTGATTGATGGTGGTCTGGGAGGTGGCCGGTTGGTGTGGTGAAAGTGGATGACAGTGGTCTTATTTTCGTTGATGCAGAGCTGCCAATCCCTCAGCCACTGTGCGGCGGTTGTCACAGCTGACTGGAGGTGCTCTTCTGTGGCTAGACATTTCTCATGAGCGGCAATCATGGCAATGTCGTCGGCAAAATGGCTGCACTCAGTGTTGGCATTTATGCAGGCGGTTGGCAGATCGACTGTGTAGGCTGTGAACAAAAGCGGCCCCAAGACAGAACCTTGGGAGACCCCTGCAGGAATGTTCAGCCAGGTTGATTTGCTGCTCTCCACTGGCACACATTGTCGTCTGTTGGAGGCAATCCACTGGAAGAATTTGCCATCGAGTGCGAGGTGGGTCAATTTAGCAAGCAGTCCTTGGTGCACACCCGGTGAAATGCCTTAGATAGGTCGAAGAAGCAAGCAATACCTGTTTGCCCAGCATCTCTTTTCTCGGTGATCTGATGGATTAACCGAGATAGCTGCTGTGTGGTGCCATCGTTTGGCCGAAAACCTGATTGGCCGTTGTGGAGGTGAGGTTGGATGTGCTTCGAGATCCGGTCACCAACTATTCTCTCTTGCACTTTCGACGTCACGCTGAGCAGCAATATGGGTCGATAGTTGGAGGGCTTGGTTTAGCTGCCCTTCTTGTGGATCGGGTGACTGTTGCGTCGCTCCACTCTTGCGGGATAGTGCAACGATAGAAGGAGATGTTAAAAAGGATATCTAGGGACGGCGCAAGTGAACTGGCTGCCTCTTTCAGTAGTCGGGTTAGTATGTCATCACAACCCGGGGTCTTTGACGGGTCGAGGTTAGACAGTAGCTTTGAATCCTCTTGGGCTGTTGTTTCAAGTGTAGTGAGACCAGGTGTATTGGGTGTGGGGACATGAATGGAGAGGAATTCCTGCTGGCGCCCTGTAACTGACTGTCGGCTCTGCCAGTTGAAGAAAGCGTTCAGGGTGGTTGTTTCAGCTGGGGTTGAGAGAGTGTGGCCCTGGAAGAGCATGTCTGGCAGAGTAGGTCGTTGTGAGGACTGGAGGCCACGCATCAGTTTGTGTAGGTTTGGTGTGGAGTGGCTCGTCCCAGTGCCACTACTTACATACCGGTATGTAGACTTAGCGATTCGGAGAAGGTGAGGTATAGAATAACTTGTAGTTCCCTGGTTCCTTTTCTATACTACTTCCTCCGCTGCATCGAAATTGTCGCAGTTTGACTTTTTCTTATAAAACGGGGTATTTACTCACCAGCACTCGTACCAGAGGCAAGGAATCGGACAAAGGCGATAGTCATCAGTATAGGGTGACGGCAAAGTTCTATTTTCTGTTATTAGAAGCTGGAATTTTTGAACTAGACGCAATTTCTTCGCTGATGTCGCTGCGATGGTAATTTCGACTCGCCGAGATCAGTCAGGCGTTGCAGCCTGCACATTTCTCGTCCTTATGGCCATTCACTCAAGCCTCATCACTGTTTTACCTTAGCTGGGGTGAGAAAGACTTCGTGGAACAAGTGGTAGCGCTTGGAGAAACATCGAGGGGTCAGCAAAGTAAATGCCTGCAACAACGATAAAATTTGTCGCTCTGGCTGAGACACTCAGTACATGATTGTACCTGCAAGAGCTATGTAGACTCTACACGTAGTGCTAGTGATGCACGCGCAGGTGCCATACCATGGTATATGAGTGATGCTAAAAAAAGAGGGCGCGCTGGACGTGATAGTACACTTACCTGCATGAGCTCTGACCACACAGCTAAATTAAATGGGCATGCCCCGGCTAAAAAATGTTCTTTTCAAGATCGAGGTGATTCCGCCGACGGTAATCAACCGACCTCGCAACGATCGTGTGTTCTTACTAGGCTCAGTTGGTGGTGAAGTAGAAATCATCCAGAGGTTGTAGACGACAAGCATAGCAGCTCTTGTCCAGGTGGAGAAAGTCAAAGCAGGTGAGATGAGGCGCGACCAACTTTCAACCTTCCTTGAAATATTTCGGAACGATATTTTTGCGTCCATTGACATCAGCGACGACGAGGACTTCATCTCTGCATGAAAACTCTCAGTCCAACTGTCCTGGAAAGTAACTCTAGTCTTCAGACTATCATACTGTGTAATAAGTTTGGAATGGCTTAGCTTATGGAGTTGTCAGTAACAAGTGACAAGTCACTAGTCAAACTGCGATAATTTCGATGACGCGGAGGAAGTAAAAATATTCATAAAAAAGTAAAAAAAGGACCAAGGAACTGCAAGTTACACTATAATGTCCACTAACACCACCAGTTACTAAACAATCAGCTCATGCTATAACACTGCACGACAATGACCGACGGTACTGACATTCTACAACTAACCGGCTAACAGCTCTAGCTCATCTTTGATATAGCTTAGAACCTTCCAAGTTAGAAGGCTGTTGGAGTGCGCGTCCAATATGTGCTAGAGCTGTTAGCCAATTAGTCGTAGAACGTCAGTACCGTCGGTCAGTGTTTTGCAATGTTATCGCATGAGCTGATTGTTTAGTAATTGGTGGTGTTAGTGGACAGTATAGCGTAACTTGTAGTTCCTTGGTCTTTTTACTTTTTATAAATCAATCCTTGGCTCTCCATCTGAGTTAACGAGAGAGCTTGGAAGGTCAGGGCCGTACGCGATGCTCTTTTGCCTAGCTAGCTCATCATGCATGTTAACTATTGGAAATGTTTTTTTTCATTGATTGGCTACATCAAAATTTCTCTTTGCATTTTAGGGTAAGAGAACACTGTCTACCAACCTGATGACCTAGGCAAAAAAATCACAGGGATGCTATAAATTTTCCATTTCTCCTTTTTTTAAAGACATAAATTGGGATTCGAACCCGCACTGTCGCCCTACATGCATTCCCCGATACACTTCGCAATCATACTCATTCTTCCAAGTTGCTTCACGTTATGATCTTGCATTTGAAAGCCTTTTTTTGAATATTGTGGCCAGCTGTTTGTGGCCAGCTGTCTTTGATGGTACAGTACGGGACAGGTGCTAGATAGCACCTGACATGCCGATGGCACAAATAAACAAACAAACAAACCCGGAAGTAATCCTTTGAGGACCAAGGACGAGTTATCTCATCCTCAAAAAGTATGCTGTATTCCCGAGGACGAGGATACTCGTCCAGTTGCATTCCACAAAATAGTGCCTGACTCAAAGTACTCGTACGCTGTTGTAGATCGCGCGAATGACTTGGATACTTGCCTGCAGCATCTTCGAACTCGTGGGTGGCGATTCAAACAAAGCTGGGGGGTTCACGAGGTAGTTGGATTTATTTATTTGTTTCACCTTCCCGTGGCCAGAGAATATAGGCCAATATGGAGGGAGGGGCGATAGCCAGCCATGGCTATGTCACGCCCGTTCTTCGATCTCAAATAAAATTTCAAAGAGTGTCGTTGCTATTTTTTGAACTACTATCACATCATATCGATCTCTCTTTCGTGCTGTTGTCAGTGGTTTTAGATTCCGCGAATGACTTGACTACTTGGTTGCACAGGCTGCAGCATCTTAGATCGCGTGGGTGACGATTCATATGAAGCTCACAGGTCTGCGAGGTGCTAGGAGGTCACGCGCGTCCTTCGAACTCAAATAAAAATTTCAAAATTCCAAAAGTGTAGTTGAAAATGTTGAACGACTATCACATCTATCTCTCTTTTGTTGTGGATCGCGTGAATGACTTGCATGTAGCTTCTTCAAACGCGTGGGTACCGATTCGCGCAAAGGTCGCAGGTCTGCGAGGTGCTAGGAGGTCACGCGCGTGCCCCCTTTGAACAAATATAAAAATTCAAACTTGTTCAGTAGGTCCTATTTTTGAACTCAACCGTCGCGATCATGGCATGTCGTAATCTCTCATCGGTCTCCTTTCGGAGGCGTACGATACTATATTCATGGACAGCGACAGCGAGAACGAGTCATTGGACTCGAGCGGCGATTCTGAAGACGGAAGTGACTCAGATGTTTTTGAAATCGAAAGTGATGGTTCTGACGACGACGAAATTAAGAAAAAGGGAAATCATTAACCACACAGCGAAAAGGCTGCAGCAAATAATATTTTAAATTATAACTGAATCGGGTGCAAAATCAAGAAATCATAACAAGCAAAACAAACTAATAATAAATGGTAACTGAAGCCAAATATCATCAGCATAGCCGAACCGGGGAACATGACCCGTGCCACAATCAAGATATGACGCTTTGCTTCTTATTTCGGATGCTACATCAAGTTAGTCAATCTGATGGTAGTAGTCTTGGTCTCCATTTCCCAAAAATTCAAAAGCCCAGTTGCCAGGGCCATAACGTTGTGGAACTGGCCATTTACTAGTACCTTAATTGTAGCATTTTGCCCAGTGGCTGAATGGCATAACTCTATAGCGGTAAAAGGGTTAAGATTCAATGAAAACTGTATTGTGCTTATTACGCTAAATGTATATGTTGTGACCTACCGACACAGACAATGTTGTGTAACTGATCACGTGATGCATCTTCTGTTAGATTGTCTCCACTCAGAATTGACTTTACCAACCAATCAGGTGTCACTAGCCAAACACTATTGTTAATCTTGCCAGAGCTAACTGCGGATGAAATGCAGCCTGGATGGCTCGGGAGTGACAGTCCTGCCTTTGAACAACTAGTTATTGCCATGTCCAGGCTCGTCTTCAAGTGTGCGCTTGTATCTAAAATTAGAAGGCTTTCATTTCCCGCGCATTCGTATCTCTCTGAACATGCAAAAGAGGGCAGATTACACGAAAATCAATATTAACATCTTGGTTTACCAACCAAGCAATGTTTTTATAACTTCATCAGAGACCCACTCATTATTGTTACTGAAACCCGGTTTGCGGAAAAGATGAAGGGTATTGGTGAAAGAAAAACCAAGTCTGAAAAATTTATTAAATAATATTTAAAAAGGAATTGAAAACTTAGAGACCTGTGAATGCAGTTCCTTGGTCTTTTTCTGTAATGCAAATTAAAAACTTATATTTTCAAAGAAAAAAAAGGATGGGCCATGACCCAAGTCGTCACCGCCAAAAGCAACCAGCACTATTCTTTCCGTAGATGTTGGAATCTAGGAATGATGAAGCAGGTATGTTCCAGTGTTCCAATATGTTGGTTCCCATTTGGTTTTTAATTCCCGCTGGTTATGGAAAAATTAATTGGGTTTAATTAAAAAATTAATGCCATTTACAAAATTCTCTTCTCTTTCCTAAACGTAGCATACCACCATTTCTTCAAAGGGGAACTTGAGGTAGCTTGAGGAAGTGAAGTTCATACCAGGGTGTTGTGTAACTGTAGGTGACATTTGAGCCCCGGCCAGCGAAAACCAGCACTTGTGTACTTGATATCAATCATCAAAACGTGACGTCAAAGTTTGGGACGCGCAGTGAGCTGGCTTTTGAAGATTCTTTTCGATCGAGTGGGTGTCTTTGTTGTCAAAGGAGTTTCAAGTGTCTTCAAATGTCTCTGGTCAATTGATTTTAGCGCTAGGAGAGAGCTCGTCACACGGAGGTTGAGTTTAGACACAGCGATGGCGACAGGTGTCGCGACAAAGACTTAGGTCCAGAGTTGTCAGCGTGAGACTGCCTGTACGAAGCAGCGCTGAAAGTTAGTTCGCGATCGGAATTATTTCTTTGTTGTCGATCTCGCTGAGTTTGTCCAGCAGTGGCGAGTGTCATATGCATAGCAACGAAGAGCCCTCATAAAATCGACACTGGATACTGGTGGCGACGATAGTCAGTGCTGAAGAAATAGCGACTGCGAGGAGAAGCTGAATGTCGACCCGCTGAGCGATCCGTATTTCTATATCGACAACAATGATGTTGCAGACACTGATGGAGGGCTTCTCACGGCGCAAAACAGAGCGTAGTATTCTCAGTACTCTTCCTTGCCAGACGACACCAAGCTGGCTGCTGCCTGTGTTGAGAAAGGGGATCCCTAAAAACTCAAACCGGCTGAACGCTTTGGGGCAACATGTTCACGTGCTACAAAACGCCAGCATTCGCTCATATCATTGAAATACAATTATGCTGAAATCATGGTCTGAGTGAAAGTGTACAAGGGAGTGGATGTCAGTAGTATTGATCAGTACATCTATCAGTATGGCAAGCTTTGGGACAACGCCCAAACTGCCAGCGCAGAGGTCCCTGAACACAATTTGGAAGGCCAGCCACCAATCATCGTTTTGCACTCTGGTGTTGTAAAGAAGGTAGTGATGTATACGGAATATCGTCACTGTGACTTCTGAACTACTCATGCCTGCACAGGCTGCAGTACCAAGAGGGCAAGCCTGACTTGCATTCTATTTACTTACATGTACCTGTTCCACATCACAATCAGAAACTGTAGGATCAACTTGCATGGAGTCACTAGGCATGGATGCTGCGCCAACTGTACCGAATCTTGACCTCTCCGACTTCAAACTCTATTTTCCATGCTTTCGCTTATCAGATTGTCACCAAACTTGATAACTTGAATGATTAATAGTGTAGAAACAATTTCGAGGGAAAAAATAATTTTTGAAAAAATTACACATGTTCAGGTTTCTGCTGGCTGGGGCTCATTTATAATTTCTTTTTTCTTTCATATTATTATTAATTATTATCAGTCTAATCAATTCGTTCATCGTTGTCAGCGTGTAGCAAAGTACTGCTTACCTTGAGTCCAAAACACAATTAACGAGTTACGATAGTTCTTACTACGACGTTGCATGTTGTTTGTAGATTTACATCACGTACATGCAGCTTGGCAAGTTGTGTCACTATGCAATCCAATGCAATGCAATCTATTCCACTGCACGTATTTCTCGTAACACATCCATGCTTACTTCGTAGGTGTTTAGGTCCGGTCTTGCGTGATAGAGCTTTCTATATGATTGATTCTAAGAAACACCGACATTGACTGAGCTTCGAACTTTTTCTTCTTTGTCTGCCCGTGCATTCTGTTCTCAAACAAAGCCTTCGTTAAATGTGTTTATATTTTCGCGCTCTGCAGATTGGTTTGCCTCACGCTCAGCTTTGTTTCCTTTTCTTTGTCAAGTGCATTATTACAACGTATGACTTGTCTACGCACTTATCACGTGACCTTTTGACCGCACGCGCTATGCAGTATGCACGCTCTATGCTAGTGCCTTTGAGCAATCAAAGCGACCCGCTTTTCTTTTTTTCCACGTCGCAGTCGTTCATGATCGCCATCTTTACGTTTGATTTTGAAGCGCGGTTGTATGCTTATGCAGCTGCCTTTTATCATCTTTCGCTGATCACCTTTCAGATTTATCCTTATTTTTCTTTATGTATTCTCTCGCCCATTCTCTCACCCACGTTTGGAACGGTTGTCGGTTGTAGCATGCCAAGGGTTGGATGCAAGGTTGGTTAGGATTGTTCAGTAACAATTCAGTAACAAGGCCAAGAAGCACAGCCGGGGTGAGGCTGCCAAATCTCGTTGCTATCAGTTCAGCAAGAGAAAATATCAGGTGAGCGGTATAGCGGGGTGAAGAGAACAAGAGAGCATCATGGGAAGAAAAACATTATACGGGTGGATGTTCACAAATAATTTGTGCATTCGATGGTAAAGAGAACAGGCAATTATTTTCTCATGTTGGAATTTTTATATCAGCTTTGGCTTTTTTGTTCATGTTGATCATTTTTGGCTTCCTACAATATCTCCAGTGCACCACTTGGTTGCGTAAGAGTAGGCTGATGAATGTGTGATCCCAGCTCATTTGACACTGGGGTTGTGGCATTTTGTCCATTCAAGCTTCCACGTGCACTTGAACATCAATAAATTATTAGCTTTTTCCTTCTGTGGTCTCTCGTCGTGCTCAAGTAGTTGGTGCATCTTTGTTTGAAGGGTGGTTGTTTTTGCTGTGGACTTTTATTTTTCTTCATCAATAGCACGGGCATGATTGCCTTTTCGCCGTCTCATAGGTCCGGTTCTCACAGAAAGATGAAGGAAATTATATGAGGAAATGTATAGAAATAAAGACATGCAAGCGGTAAAAATATTTTTTAAATGTTCGTGGTTCCATTAGAACGATGTGTTCCGTTCACTTGTCTCTTCCTGTGTGCTGGACTTTTCGCCTTTTATACAATACATGGTCATGGGCAGTTGCAGCCCCTTGGGCAAAATATTTTGTTCCGACAGTTATGCTGTTGTCAGAGTTGTTCTTCTTTTGTGTATGTCACTTCCATTACACATGGTTTCTATGAGACTTGACCATTGCTGACATTTTCAGAATGCATGAATAGCTTGTCATTGTGTTGGTCTTGCTGAAGATCGTAACCAGTTGTTAACCAGAAGGAAAGAGCTTGACGATGAGCCAGACTTTTGTTTACATGCAATGTCTGTGGCTGCCGTTTTACTGAATGGTGGGTTGTATCATGTTAGATTGTGTATTTTGCTTCTGTCCATCATCCTGTCTCCTCCTCGTCCAAATAGTCAACTTGTTACATGGATACACTGTCTATAATAATGATGATACAGATTCCAAAAAGCTGAAAGCTGAATGCGTTCTCACACTTGATGTAACAAAAGGCTCCTGCTGATCATCTCAGACACTTATTTGACAAGGGCGGCACACGAGGTCAGAGTTGGTAGTGAATTAACTCTCTCCCTCTCTATTTTCACTGTAATCGTATCGGGATATTCTTTCACAGTTCCAGCATATATCCTTTTGTGCAGTGCCTGCTCCACCTTGACGCAGCGCCGTTTAGTGGAGTGCCAGAAATGCTCCCCAACTGTTCTTCCCTTCCCAAGATTTCCCTTTTTTGGCACTACACCTCCATAGTGATAAAAAGATAAAGGAGCTATGGGGGGGGGGGGGGCAACTTCGCGTGGGAGCAGCCGCCCCATCATGTAACATTCAAATTACATTTCACTAGGATATTGATGCAGAAAGTTCCGGTTTTCGACATTCTATCACAAATACCGTACCTGAATTCATTGTGGAATAAACAAGGGGATGACACCTATCTGTAATATTATTATTATTTTGCTTGTTCGCGTTGGCATCAACCTGCATAAAGCAGGTATATAGCCTTCGCTTAAGCTGCCATAAAAAAGAAAGCTCATCCTAAGCGAGAGGGCTAGAGGAAAAGATAACGATAACGAGATACAGAATACAAAGAAATACAATGAGTTAAACATACGTATACAGTTAAAAACAAAACAGAGCAGAGCCGAAGTTACTAATCGGAGTGACAAATGCGTTGGTTCCGATTGATCCATCAATCGACAAAGGGACTAATCCGTTAATGTTGCAAAGTAGAAAACGATTGCAGTTTCAGATGTCCAGGCCAGGGCCAGCATATTGCCGATTCTGGATAGGTCTCTGCAGCATTTGATGTGGTAATTATTATCATAATTAGTGATAAAATTGTTAGAGTATCTAGAGTATCTAGTATCTAGAGTATCTAGTATGTAGAGTATCTAGTGTACTTGTATCTGATATTATCAGCATGTGAAATTGTTTTACATGGCGGTATATCCATAGTACTATGATTAGTGTTGAAACGAGCGTATCTATAACAAACGAGCGATCAGTTCCACTAACGAGCAAGCTATCGAGCGAGCTAACGAGTTTCATTGATGTGGCAAATATGATTTTTTGAATAATTTTTTTTCTAAGTTCGATTTTTTTCAGCTGGTTCAAATTATCACCGCCGGCATTTGGGGTTGCTGCTGCTTCACTTCGGACTGCTGTTTGGTGTCGAGGTGTCTTTTCAGCGCCGTCGTCGAGTAGCCTTTGTAAGAATAGACCGTTTTGCAAAGATTGCAAGTAGTCCTGGTCTTCGCTGCATCGCGGGAGAAAACTTCCAAACGACTGAGCGTAACTATTTTACTTTCACTCGAATGGAGAGGTGACCGAAGCATATCCTGCGACAGGTCAGCAGATGCGGAACAAGACATTAGTAGAGTCCACCAAAGCTGCAACGACAACTGAAACAACTCAAGTGTAGTGCAGGCATACAGTCACTGTAACTGCGAGTGATTTTCACTTTGCGCGGGACTGGACTCTCGATCGACCAGGGAGTCGTAAAATATTTTACGACTCCCCGGTCGACATGTACTGCCATGTGTACGGAGTACGGTGTACGGTGTTCGTTAGTGCAAACGAGCTGGCCGCACAAACGAGCCGAGTTTCTGGCGAGCGAGCTAACGAGTATCCGGTGAGATCGTTTCAACACTAACTATGATCTCAAGCACAGCTGAAGCATCACCACAATTACAGTTGAGGCATGTCGTCAATTGCTCTGTGATTCAGAGCCGGATCACAATATTTTTCCATTCAGCTTCGGACTGCATCGCAACCTTGTCATTCCTTCAGCTAACCCTTTTGCTGCTAAGGACGTATATTTACGTCCTTGAGAAAGGCAACCACCATCACCCTCCTTGGTGTGAAAGTGGACGCCAAGTTGACCTTTAGCGATCACCAACGCTCCATAGCTACCCGTGCACGCTACCAGCTTGGGGTCCTAACCAGAGCCGCCCACATCTTCACCACGGGCGGCCGGACGACTGTATATAAGGCGTTCGTACGATCAACCATATGGAGCACTCGCCTCCTATGTGGATGAGAGCTGCGCAGAGTCACCTCCAGCGTCTGCAAAACGTTCAGTGCCGCGCATTTCAGGTTATTGGCCCTGGTGCACACCTACCCAGCTTGGCTGTCCGCTGTACTGTTGCCTGCCTGTACAAGCTGCACTACTTTCCTGGTCATTTGTAGGTGCTCTCTGTGTTGCCAGCTCGCCGTATCCCCTCTACCAGCCCCAGAACTCGCAGCAAACATGGTAGCACCAGTGGCCATGACCAACAGCTCCAACACCAGTTGCCTTCATCATCCCCCTGGCACTAAAGGGCTCGTTCCCACACTGCAGCATCAGCGATTGGAACTCCCTCCCTGCCGCTCTTCTGCCCTAGCCTCCACACAGCAAGAGAACGCAATCATTAAAAATGTTTAGCGCCATCTTCGCAGCACAATCTGGCTCTGGGGAGTCGATTCGCTATGAATAGTATGATGCCAATTTGATGACAATTTTTTCCACACACTCGCTGATGTTAAGCCTTGGGATTTTCATTTTTCTGACTTGTACAGCTCTATCTTCTTTTTTTCTTCTTCTTTTTGTGCGTGTTTTTGGCCGTGACACATAGACATTAGGTTGGCAGAGCCATCAGTGCCCCACCATCACTGCTGCGTCTCGGTGCAGTGCGTGTGCATTAGTTGCCACGTTTGTCTTAGTCTCCGTACCATTGTCTGTCCTTATTCTTGGAGCTGGTAATGTGAACATAGTAAAAAAGTAAATATAACATATAGTGTTGAAGAGAAAACTCTTAGCCACCGACTGCAACAATCATCAAAGCCACACGAGAAAGGCCCGCGGAGTTATGGCGCTCGACGGCTACACAGCTTCACACGGCCAGACCAATAATTATTATTTTTGGGCGATGCGTGGGTGCTCGGTTTTCTTTTTTTCTGAATTTTTGCCACTTGGTGCCATGGCAACCGCCAATTAAATCGCATATCATTATGAGCATATGCAAGCCTCACTAACATGGCGAGCAACCCCAGAGATGAGGGCAATACCGGTCATGCATCCATTGTGCACAACTTATGCATATTATGCACAGCTTACAAAGGAAAAATATAACCCAGGAACCCTTATGCAAGCGGTTAACTACTTATTGATTTTGAACGGTTACATAGCCGGTTAAACTAGGTAACAGCTCCACCCCTAATATAAGTTCACCTTTGAAACTAACATCCACTCCAACACCATCGCAAGTTAAAGAGTTCTATTCAGCACTCAATCTGCGGACAGAACTGTTTCATCCTTTTGTATACTCATCAGCACAGCACAGAGAAAATGAGGCCCAGGCTGTTTTACCGTATTCAGTATAAAAACCTATATAAACTTGTATAAAAGAAGTATTTTTTAGAGAAAACTTGGAAAGCCTTGAAAAACGGGTTCTCTCCCAAAAATTGATCTATACTTCAAAAGGAAATTTTGGCCGGAATACGACAGATCCAAGTGTTTTTCCCTTCCATGACAAAATTATTCAACTGCTTGCTAGTTTAAGGATGCTCTTTTCTACACACTTACGTGAACAAAGGCCATTTGACCAATTAGAATTTTTGTTGCAACATACAAAGGACCCATTGGTGTTGTAACATGTATCCTGTTCATTGCAAAAACTACCATTTGATATAGCGCATTCATCTATATCTGTAAATCAAAAGAGAGAAATTGTAATAACAATACCGTGTGGTTATACGCCATTGTTACACAGCTCAGCATAATGTGGTAGCGAAAGTGCAGTCTGGCGGCGGAATCTCATATCTTTTTGTCATAGTCCCACCATTATTCACACCTTGTTTGAGTGTGAGTGTGGTTGCGAGCATTTTGTTACTTCTGCCCGTACAAGAGGCTGGTTTCAAAAAAAGAAGAAAAAAAGGTGTGGGTGTGAGTGCAGTGACATTATATATTAGAAATATTGCAACAATAAATGTACTTTCACATTATGGGTATTTGGTATAACCCCACACCAGTCATTGTTGAATATTCGATAATAGCGTGGATTTCCCCAAAATATATTTCTATTTTTGTTATCCTCTCCCATGCCGTTGTACATAAGCGACTTGCCGCGGATATGTCAATACTACAGCTACTACTATATTGGTATCACGAATGTGAATGTAGACAGTTTCTAGAACTTTCAACTGCTTGAAACTACTTGCAGAACGAATAACACTGAACCAAGAATCATCATATTTCTCACAACACACTGGGTTAGACAACAAATGCAATTTAATTGCCAAAGTAAAAAAAAACAACCCAGCACGCAGAACAAACCTTAATGTAAATGAAGACGAACACCGTGTCTGAATGGACTAGGATGGAGAGCCAAGGATAAATTTATCTTCTAGTTTCTTGGCCCTTTTTTAATTTTTTACTATAAACACTGTGTTACATCTTTATTATCAGCAATTACCGGTACTCCGCACGCAGACAAAGTCAACACGCCAAAGCTGAGAAGGAGCAAACGGCTGGCAGCAGCTCGGTTTGCAAGAGATGACGGCGAAGATGCATGAAACTCTCCGGATCTGGATGATGCCAGCAGAATAGTTGACGTCTGTCAGGTGCTTGGCAATGGCAAAGGAAGACCGTTCAGAAAGAGAATGCGACGGCAGCAGGAGGAATATGGAAGCGAAGATGTGACGACAACGAACAGACTCATGACAAACTAACTCATCCTTTGCGTCCCGGGTTTCGGCACCATGTTGTTACGGAATCTCAGCCATTCCGTTCCCCGGGACGCAGGACACAAGGGACAAGACTTGTTTGTAACATTATATATTTTGACATTACGGAAAAGCAAACTGCTCTGACAGAGACGAACAAGAAGACTGACAAAAGGACTCTCGACTACAAAATCGCGCATGCTCATATCACACATGCTAGACGATACAATTTGGGGAATGCCATCACACAGGAAAACAACACATCATTTCACAACAAAGTAAAGAAATACGCGGCAAGGCAACGGCCTGATAGCTCGTTCCAACAGGTGTACGTGTTAAAAGTCTGCTGAGGAGCTTCTGCGGGTACTTGTATCCGTTCTTCACAAATACGAGCATAGAAAATTAAGTTCCTGCCGTTTAACAAGGTTACGAACTAAGTTAGACTTGTACTGGGAAGTGCAAAACGAGTCAAACATCATGTATTGCGCGGTGAAACGGGTTTAGGGTATACCGTAGTTAATACACCAGTCTGGGTCTTTTCGACTAACACATCCAGAAAAGATAGCTTATTCGACTCTTCATGTTCACACGTAAATCTTAGTGCAGGATGGATTGCATTCAGTTTCTTCAGAAAGTCATCAGGGTCTAATTTCTGACTTTTAGTAAAAAATACTTCCTCCGCGTCATCGAAATTGTCGCAGTTTGACTAGTGACTTGTCACTTGTTACTGACAACTCCATAAGCTAAGCCATTCAAAACTTATTACACAGTATGATAGTCTGAAGACTAGAGTAACGTTCCAGGGCAGTTGGACTGAGAGTTTTCATGCAGAGATGAAGTCCTCGTCGTCGCTGATGTCAATGGACGCAAAAATATCGTTCCGAAATATTTCAAGGAAGGCTGAAAGTTGGTCGCGCCTCATCTCAAACGCTTTGACTTTCTACACAGGACAAGAGCTGCTATGCTTGTCGTCTGCTAGCTCTGGATGATTTCTACTTCACCACCAACGAAGCCTAGTAAGAATACACGATCGTTGCGAGGTCGGTTGATTACCGTCGCCGGAATCACCTCGATCTTGAAATGAACTTTTTTTAGCCGTGGCATGCCCATTTATTTTAGCTGTTTGGTCACAGCTCAGGTAAGTGTACTATCGCGTCCAGCGGGCCCTGTTTTTCAGCATCACTGGTATACCATGGTACGGCACCTGCGCGTGCATCACTAGCTCTACGTGTAGAGTCTACACGGCTCTTGCAGGTACAATCATGTACTGAGTGTCTCAGCCAGAGCGACAAATTATATCGCTGTTGCAGGCATTTAGTTTGCTGACCCCTCGATGTTTCTCCAAGCGCTGCCACTTGTTCCACGAAGTCATTCTCACCCCAGCTAAGGTAAAACAGTGATGAGGCTTGAGTGAATGGCCATAAGCACGAGAAATGTGCAGGCTGCAACGCCTGACTGATCTCCGCGAGTCGAAATTACCATCGCAGCGACATCAGCGAAGAAATTGCGTCTAGTTCAAAAATTCCAGCTTCCAATAACAGAAAATAGAACTTTACCGTCACCCTATACTGATGACTATCGCCTATATCCCATTCCCTGCCTCTGGTACGAGTGCTGGTGAGTAAATACCCCGTTTTACATCAAAAGTCAAACTGCGACAATTTCGATGACGCGGAGGAAGTAAATTTATTAAAACTTACTGACTGTATGGTTTCCTTGTTTTATGTCACTCGCATCGGTACTTTTCGGACTGCACTTGTATCAAACATGTGACACAAACATCACAGTCGCACGGTGTCAGCTTGAGTTGGTCTTGGAGTCTTCAGGGTCCAGCAACGCCGAGTTGGAGAAAGAAAGCAATGAATGTACATGAACACAAGACACATGGCAAAGCGTTGCAGCAGGCAGATCATTCTGATCACGTCCTTGCACCCATAAACTCGAACTCGAAGGTAGTCCAAGGACTTTCTGACACTGCGGGAGCCGCGTGGCTCGCGTCCGGCCGTCAGTACAGTCTTCAAAATGTTCCTTGGCAGCCATCCCTTCTCCGATTTCGATGTTCGAGGGCTCATTTTCTTTATTAAAATGTTCTCCGTAGATTCACCAAATCATTCTTCTCCTCAACGACATAGATTTACTGTCAGAATACTGGAAATCAGAGCGACAACGCTCAGAAAAAACCTACACACGGATTTCCCTCTACTGTACAAGCCATTATTCTAACGAGGCGCATATATAACGATTTCCCAAAATCGACTGGTTTACGTGTACCAAAGATAACGATTCTCACTTATTCTCAACGCTCAATAGGACAGTATATGTATCGATTTCTGTATAACAATTTCTATTTTAACGACAGATTTCTCCTCGTTAACTCGTGAGAGTTAGCACTTCGTTATAAATATGACTTTTACAGTACTTGACCGATTTCACAATTTCTTTCCATAGATGTCCGCATACTTGGCCGTCAAAGCAGCCCTGCAATTTTCAACGCCGTAGATAAAACGGCTGCTGCCAAGGAACCCTTTAAAAATCGCCCAAATATTGCAATATTTCGAATTTTCTGTAATTCTGATTGGCTGCACGTCCCTGACACGCACGTGCTGCGTGCGTGATGTATCAAAAATGGCTGCGATGTCTGAGTACATGTACACATATGCTACCCCTGCAGTTTTAACCCTTTCCATGCCGGGGCCCCTTTTCTCCAATCGGCCGGCTGTCCAGTGCACTGACTCTCTTGGTATAGTTTGCGCGCACAGCTCTGATTGGAATTTATTCTTATTTCACTCCACAATGATGGATTTTCATCATCCTGGGCTCGTTGGAAAGATCAGGACCAAGCGAATCCATCATGGTAGATCTCAGCAACATAGACACACCAGGGCCACTTCCATCTCCTCTTCCGCCCACTCCACCGTGCCTCGGAACGGCACAACAACTCAATCTCACGTTCTTGTTCGGCATCTTGCCCAAATAATAATTCAACCGATTTTCACGATTCGAACTGCGCTGCAAAGCTGAGATCCAAGCGCTTCATTTGATTTCCATCACGCATGCGTCATGGCAAAGGGAAATCCCCTAGCACGCTCCAAAAAACTGCGAAATCATGAACAAAAAAAGAGTCAAACATAAGTAGTCAAAATTAATATAATTATTGCGTATTTGACTAAGCAGTGAAATACACGATGTATTTGACCGCTTATGTATCAGGGAAATTAGTGAGGTCAAATACTAAGAAGGCGATAATACAAAAAATCTATGTGGAGATAAAAGTTTAATAATAGCTATGAAAAGTATGAATACCGCAGACATCACCACGCAACATGACAATTTGTTCAAGGTTTGGTTTGTGTGTGTCTACCACCGACACAACCAGAGCAAGTCGAACACACGGTGCAGAGGAAGAGTGGTGGATCACTTAGCCAACCGAATGTGCCTTCTCCACCGCTGCCAATGCCGCCACCGGAGCCACCACCAGTGCCGTTGGTGGCTAGGGTTGGGGAGGAGTCGGCAACAACCACAGTACCGCCAATCACAGAAATTGATCCCATTTCTTTGACACAGTATCCGGCTGTGCGGACACCGCAGCACCCTCCAGCGCTTGATCCGTGGGTCCAGCGACCACGGAGGTCGACCGCCAATTATTCAACCGAAATATATGCTAGGAATGGCCAAGGCCCAAACGGAGCATCGAAGGAGACCGGAAGCCGAGGGCAAAACGGAACACAATCTCGGGACGTAGATGATGTAAGGACAGTGGCACGGAACAGACGTAGGAAGGAGAACATGGATGGTATCAGACGACTGACTGGTGGTGAATATGAGTTGGGTGATGATGCGGCGGATGACGAGGATACAGATGACGACGAGGCGGATGACGGCGAGGATACAGATGACGACGAGGCGGGTGATGACCAGGCGGCGGATGACGACGAGGCGGATGACGATGAGACGGCTGGTGGTGATGGTGATAAAACGGACGAGGAAGAGTCAGGTGGCAGGGAAGGTGATGGAGCTGATGAGGGTGAAATTCGTAAGAAGTCAGCTGTGTACTTGCTTTTGTTATCTCGTCCCGATTGTTTGAGTGTTTATGATGATTCCCACTTCTCTGTACTGTGTCGTGCCCGTTACGTCCAGCAGTTGAAGGTCCTTGAAGCTGCTTGTATTCGTACGCATAAGCCCGATTTGTGTAAGCAAAAAGAACATGTTTTAGCACTTAGGTTATTTTCGTGAGTTTGCACCCCGTGTTCATGAGTTGTTTCTGCACTGTTCATGCCCGGTTGTCACACTTACTCTTTATTTTAGTTCTCACTTTTTGTAATACTTACCACAAGTTACCCGTCATGTGTCACACTTCTTTGGATTTTTAACCTTTGTTTTTTCCCTTGATCTCTTTAGTTCCGTATTTGCACTGATGATCGGAGCGTGAAAATCGCACAAAACCAAACCTTGAACAAATTGTCATGTTGTGTGGTGATGTCTGCGGCATTCATACTTTTCATAGCTATTATAAGGCGATAATAGATACATATTATTGGAACACTACACATGGCAGAACAACAGAGACCAAAAATCCTTCTCGTGTTTCAAAAACACTCATCAGACTGCGACAGACGATAAACTATAATAATGCTAGTCGCTAGCTGCTAGCATGAGGGATATAGACAAAGGTTCTGTTGAGCACTTTCCCCTGAGCTGCATACAATGGACCGACCAAAACGGATGGACATCGACTACTCGCTCAAGAACGTACCTATAACTAGCGAACAGCATTATTATGGTTTATCGTGTGATGAGTGTTTTTTGAAACACGAAACTCGGAGTCACGAGAAGGATTTTTGGTCTCTGTTGTTCTGCCCTGTGTGATAAGGTCTGCCCCTTTTTGAGGTGTTGAGCACTGTTTGCAGCAAAGTCTACAGACACTTTGTCCATTATTGGAACACGAAACTTATTATAGTGTTACCATAAGGATGAACAAGAAACGGGGTGACACTTCCATGGAAAGTTCATTGTGTGAGTGCACATTTCCTGGAGTTATCTTTTGAAACCAAGACTTTCCTACTTGCTGAATGACACTACATCTAAATCCGAATGGGAAAACATTTTCGAGTATAATACACGACCACAAATATAGAATCACATTGGACTAACCTTCGCAAACGGCAGTGAACTCCCAAGCTCCAGTTGTCTGGTTGCATTTGGGAGTATTGGCATCATGCACTGGTCTATAGCCCTGGGAGCAAGTCACATTTCCGGTGTCTGAAATAGACTCATAGCCCGTTGCATGTTTGTCCTTCCAGGAGCACGCTGATGCATTAAACAGAAATTCAGAATTGGCATCAATAGATATGAGGAGGACCAATGATGCTTGAGTTGTCACGGTGTACCATACTATAGAGCTTTGTACTATGTTGCTTGTCTTGTCCATTCTAACTGCCTTATACAGGCCAGCCACCAACTTAAGAGACAGTGTCTGTAAAACCGAACAAATAACACCCGACATGGGCACATTTCCGATATCGCGAGGTGTGTGCAATAAAGAGCTAGACGCGCAACCACATGTACAACAAGTCCGTCAAGACTAACGCCAGAGTTGTCTTCATCAAGTTGATCCGAAAGAACTTCGCGCCCGCATCCCCACTGGCAATTTTTTTAACAAACATACCATAAAGATCAGCTATAGCTGCCTCCCGCATGTCGTCGCCTTTATCAAGGGCCACAACAGAAGCAGGCTAAACCCAACCCAGCAGGCAAGCACTGCAACTGATGGAAAAAAGAAGAATGCCCCATGCAGGCCGCCTCGTGCCAGGCAGCTTGCACCGTATACGAAGCCGCAGAGGGCACCGAAAACAAAGAATATAGTGGTCTCTCAGAGACACCATTCAAGGTACGACAACCACAAGCTGTCCATGCACCATGTGAAATATCAACAAAGCAGGGAGCTTTTGAGCCACTCATGGTAACTGCAAAACGAAGGAACAGAACACAGCATCGTGAGGAAGAGGGCCAGCTCATACAGCCCAGCCTCCAAGCGCTGCAACTTGTGCCTGGCCGAGAAGCTGGACATTATCACTGCGGATAAAAGCACCCTCCTGAATTCGCGGTGAGAATTCGTCGCGAAGCGCAGGCACAACAGCAAGTACATGCTAGCCAAGTATACGGGCGTTACATAGACTCTCTGTTAAGTCCCACGCGGAAAGCACCTCCAGAATCTTACAATCTTATCACTGCCCCCTTTTCCGAATCACTTCTCTAATTCAGACCTTCCAGCAACCGATGCGTTGACTCGATCGACATCTAGTCACAGCGGCTCACACAATCATTCTTGAAGGCTGTATATGAATGCAATGTGCAACTTCCTCAAAAGAGTGCCATAGTGTGCCTATATAGCGATCAGCATGGCGATAATGGTGTCAGCAAGCTGACAAGAGACACAAGCGAAATACATGAGAATCCGGAAGAAGTTTCAGTGGCAAGGACCAGCGCCTGGAAAATGCTACAACAACGCGCGCCCAGATTTGCCCGGTAAGCCTTGGCAGGAGATTGTTATTGATACTCTTGAACTTGGTTCTGACCGCAGTGGGCGTTTTCATTGTGTTCTTGTGATTGTTGATGTGTTTACTAAATGGGTCGAGGTTGTTCCCCTACGTGCGCATGATGATCAGTCAGTTGCTGAAGCTGTGACCGATGTTTGTTTGAAGTGGGGCTCCCCAGAAGTTGTTCGTATGGACAATGGTACTGAATTTGTGAATGGCATTGTCGAGTCATTGTTTCGTGTGTTTGGCACGAAGGTGCGTACTGGTGCAGTTAGGCATCCCCAGTCTCAGGGTTCTGCTGAGCGATTTAATCGCACTTTGTTGACCCTCATTCGCAAGATGCTCGACTCCTCGAGTGATTGGAAGTCTGAGTTGCCTGTGCTGTTGCACTACTACCGTACGCGACTCCATGCCGCGATTGGTGTGTCCCCAATGGAAGCTATGTGTGGATGGCTTCCACGTCAGTTAATTGTTGACGAGTCTGCTGTTGGTTCTAGCCTTAGTGTTTGGGTGGACAGCCTTGCTGGTCGGTCTGCTCGTATTCGTGACTTTGTCGAATGCTGAGTTGTCGTCTCATGATTTTGTTGAGGGCAGCGCTTCCAATCCATATGCTGTCGGTGATGCTGTTTTGCTCCGTCACCCCGCTCGTTCGCAGAAGCGCTTGCCACCGTTCGAAGCTGGGTGGAAGGTCACCGAGATCCTTGGTCCTGGTTCCGTGCGTGTGTGTCGTTCTGTGGATGGTTTTGATCAACAGAAGTCTGTTAACATTCAGTTGATTAAACCTGCTGCTGAATCTGTGTTGTCCTGTGAGTCTGGATCTGTGCCTGCATCGCCCGTGCAGTGTGATCTCGATGTTGAGCCGTTGGCTGTCGCCGATCGTAGTCTGCGTAACCGTCGTCATATCCAACGCCCGAGTCGCTACATCGATTGACACTGTGTTACCTGGGGGACTGGTGTAAATATAGAGATAACACTGTGGTAAATCGACTGCTTGTATTGTTACAAAAGTTCTGACGATATTAGTTATTTGATTGTATTCTTACTTTGTAGCTGCGTCCAGGCTCGTTGGAATTCTCATCACGGACTCCATTCTAGTTTCGAAGAGATATATATTCTTGTGCAATTGTTCTCAAACAAATTCCTCGTCTTGTGCATTTGTTCTCAAACAAATTCTTCGTAGTATTTGCAGTACGTAGTCTCGCGCTCTTTGATTTGTTTGACTCGCGCGTGACTTTCCTTTCTTTTCTTTTTGTCATGTATGACGTATCGGTATGACGTGAGTGTGTACGCACTCTGTTTATGACCACGTGACTGCATGCTCACGTGGAACTACTGTCAGTAGGCTAGTGCATTTTAGCGACTGCAGCGATCCGATCTTCTTGCTTCAGCGCTGTTTCTTCTTCTTCACTTATGTCTTTTCTTTGGTCGCTGCACTAGTTTGTGATTACCATGATTACGCGTCAATGGACGACATGGTCGCCATTTTGTGCATGTCCTTTTTTCTTGATGGATCTTGGATCTCGTGGAAAAAGAACAGTTTTCTTTTCTCCCAACTTTACCACTATTTCAATATTTCAACTCTCTTGATTCCTTGTTGATAGTTGTGGCTCAGTGCATGTGCGAGTGTGCTGGAGTGCTAGCTGGAAGAGATAGAGAGCATAGTGGTGGAGTAACAGGTCTGACTCTCTCCCCGTCGTGATCCTCTGACGCAGGATGTGGATGAACCGATCACACCAAGCTTGCACTCTTCCACCCCTTGTTCCATGTGGAGTGCCATGAAGGATCCACTGGGTCGCCCACCGATCCGGTTGCGAAAGTCATTACGACCTTCCTCTTCAACTCACCGGGTAACTCTCGCGGCTTGCGGAGCTCCGTGGGTGGCCACTTCTCCGGCGACTTCATCAGGAATTGGGGTCCCTGCCACCACGCGTCGTCTACGGCCACGTCACAAGCCTACATGCCGCGGGTGTTCTTGTCAGCTCGGTTGATCTTGACCGGAAAATGCCTCCACTGGCGTCCATCAGTAGCTGTCTGAATTTCACCGATTTTGTTGGCCACATGCACTTTGAAGTCCCTGGAGTGCGATTTGATCCGGTAGAGAACGTTCTGTAAGTCAGTGCAGAAGACGTGATCTTTGAGCGGAATGCCGAGTTCTTCTCCAACTACAGTACCCACACGCACTCCGAGGGCAGTACCATGAAGATCCGGTTTGGGGATGGTAAAAACCTTTTTGATGGGTGCTGCGCGTGCTTTGGCGACTGCAAAACTGAAGGTCACCCCAACGTGTCCCTCCGGGTGCTCAACTATGACAAAGCTGGCTGCACCAATGGCATGGTCAGATGCATCTGTGAACGAATGCAAAGTGAGCTTTGCCTCGGAAGCACGGCGTGCGCTGTCTTTGAAGCACCAATTGCCTTTGGTTTTGCCTAGCTTCGGTAACTCTGGAAACCAACGGATGAACCTCTACTCTTTCTTCTTGGGTAGTTGATCATCCCTACTCACCTGAAAAGCAGGCAAAGATCCCGGAACAAGTTCCTGTTGGGAATGATAATTGGCGATGTCTATCCGCTAAGGTTGAGTATACTGGCCATCTTAGCCAGAACCGTCTGCTTGGTCTGAAAAAAGTTGTTCCGGGGGATGATAGAAGAAGGTGAAGGTGTCATCCTTGACACTGCCAAAGACTCCCAGAGACTCCTAGCGTTTCCACAGCTCCAGATGTCAACCCCATTTTGTCTGGTTCGAGTGCCACCATCGCGTCTAGTGCTCGATCCTCTTACGGAATCGACTCGAGAACTGCATTGCTGTTACTCCGCCGTTTCAGGTGAAGAGATCCGCCGTCCAGCCATACCTGCACCCCTTGCCGTACTCGAGTGGCTTCTTGTTCGTCTGGTGAACTTCCAAGCAGGTGGACCATATCAGGTGGCGGGAAATTCTGCGTCTCGGTGTGACTAACACATTGCCTTTCGGTTCGTGTCAATGGCTGTTGTGATGTCCGTTCGAGGTTCTGCATGTCGGAGAACTCTTTGCAACAATTCTGCCCATCTACTCTATGCACCCAAACTCCTTTCTCCACCAATTTTCTATGCTCCTCTTGTGCATTTGCCAACTTAAAGCATAGACTTCCTTTCTTTCTGTTTCAGCTGCCTCTAGTTCCTCTCGGGTGTGTTCTCTGGCAAGGTTTGTTTGCTCGAGCTGACGACGCAGTTCCTCGTTTTCACCATGTAACCTATGAGCGTCCTCCCTGGCCCTGCCCATCAGTTCCAGCTCACTACTGTGTGTCCCTGAACCGTTGCCATCTCCGGGCTCCATATCGCTGTGCGTCTGCGTCCCTCTGCAGCCACTCTACTTCAAAGTGTAAAGACCCCAGCCGTGTTTGGTAGGCCAGCTCCCGCACATGGTACTCACGTCGCTCATCAGCCAAGCTGGGAGTCTTTGATCCTTGATGGTATCATGAAATTGACAACCTTCTTGTTGTGTGTATATAAATTTTGTTCGCCTACCTCTCTATTTAAATATATACCAAAAGCTGTTCACCCGTTTTCATCAGTAGTTACATAGGCATGAGCAATAACGAAAACAAAGCCAGAATTTATACGGGGGGGGGGGGGGGGGGGGTAGAGAATAAGCAAGAATATTCCTTCGCGCCTCGATTCTCGGAAAGGATCAAGCAGCACATCCCGGACAAGCTGACAAGCTTTTGTCTTTGTTCATGTGTGCACGGTGTAAGTATGTGACGTGGTGTGTGTTGTTGGATGGGTGCGTTCAGGTGCTGAACAGGTCAATATAAGCAAGAGTACATGAAAACCAGAGTGTGCAGCTTGGGGTTTTCTGCTATGGGTGTCTGTCGCGGCGGAATTCCGTGATTACATCATTTTTGGCGCAGATCTGAGGCGCTAAATGGTGTAGTGCGTACAACTGAGCTGCAGTTGCGCAATTGCGCAGAAAGAGACCAGCTTGAATCCTGCTTGTACCCACTACATAAAATGATGGAATCACGGAATTTTGCCATGACAGCAACCCATTCCAGCTGCACACTCTGGTTTTCTTTTACTCTTGATATAAGTGGTCAATATAAGCGGTCAATGTATGCTGATATATGACCGCTTAGAGATCACAAGTTTCTGTGGCGGTCAATAATAAGATAGAGTGATAAACCAGTTTTTACATCAGTCTATATACCAGTCTATAGTCTCTTCATCGAAGTACGATGTTATATGGAAAATACAAGTCTGACAAGTTGTGTGGGGAGAGATGGGAGTTTATATACAAGCTCAGTAATAGACAAAGTGTCTTGAGTCTTCGCAAGCTCAGTATTATTTATACGGAGCTTGTATTATTAGATTCAATTCAGTCAATACATCGCGCACCAATGCGTTTTGTGGTTGGTTTAACACATCTGGTTCCTTTTGGAACTGGGTGAGACTTGGAATGGCGATGTCCTCAATTGGTGGTATAGGGTCATATTAATTATGGGCAAGAAAACGGGTGTCAGGTCCAGGAACAATTCATTGTTTGAGTGCTTGAGTCCATGGATTTATCGATGAAAACCAGACTTTGCTACTTGCACAACAAGATAACTTTCCAATCATATGTGCAAGACGCTTTTGAGCATGAAGCACAATCACGAAGCACCTTGAACTAACCTTTACAAAAGTCAGTGAGTTTCCAAGTGTTAGTTACCGCTTCGCAGAAAGGAGTGAATTTACGTGGGACTACCGCATAGCCCCGAGAGCAGGTCACAGTTCCATTGTCTGCAATTGACTCATAGCCTGTGGTATTTACATCCTGCCATTGGCATTCTGGTGCATTTAGCAGAATTCAGAATTAAGTGCAATACATTTAGGTTAGCGGTTAGCGGCCGTCGTAAGTTCCCTTCGGGAACGGACACGATAATTTACTTTTTTTTACTTTTTTACATTTAGGTTAGTTAATTAAAATAGAAGAACTAACATGGAAACGAGTTATGAAGCAACTATAATTCTCTTAAGGCTCAAATCGACTCTACACACTACACCACTCTCTCTCATTTACAAAACATATATTCTGCCTGTAATTGAATATGCATGCATTGCTCTCACCCCGCTCTCAATCGCAGCCCTTGGCCATCTTGAGCGAGTCCAGCGCAAGGCAGCCAGAATCTGCCCCCGTCTCCCCCTCTACACTCCTCTGAATCATTCAACACTGCTCCATCGGCTCAAATGGCCGACAATGTTTTCAGCTCGCTGCAAAGTGAAGCTCACCCTTCTTGCCCATTCCATAAAATACCAATATGCCCCACAACACATACGCATGCTCAACATTCCCGCTCAAGCTACAGCCTTCGACACGCACGCACTTGGCACCTCCCACCCTCCAGAACCGATCGCTGTAAAGACTCCCCACTGTACAAGTCCCTAGAATACTACAATGCCCTCCCTGCTAGCATTCGTGACGTCTCCTGACCTGCTTTCAAACAAGAAATCTGCTCACGGCTGATTAACTCAATCTGCTCCTGCAGCCCTCACCCTCTCCCGTATTTGTAAAATTCAAAGTGATGTAAATCACTTTCCAACTTCATAAGTCACAGCCCCACCCACAGCATCTGACCTTCTCATAAATGTATCTCTTATTGGCGATGGTGCCATCGTGAGAATAAAAAATTCAAAAACTAAGCAACTGACTGTACGAGTAACAAGATAATAAGTAATCAGGAAGTGCGATAACTTTATCTCTATATCTATCTTTATCGAATTGTAGTTAGACGGCAAGATAATCACCATGGAAATCACCATGGTAATCAGACGTGTTTCAAATGACTTGTAAAGCCACCAATACACTGCACATGTAGTAACTTCGGTACCAAAAATAGACAGTTTCCCTTTCATTCATCATTTCTAACCCAAAGGTAGGTGCATACACTTGTCACAAATACGACTCTCACAGCAGGGCAAGAGGCTTTCAACAATATCATGTGAGTATAAAATTAATATAAATTAGGTTTCCGATTCCACGATTCCAATCGGCGAATTGCTGTTACGTTTTAACACTAGCCCACAACTAGGTCATGCTGGTACATGAGAAGCGTCTTGTTTCCCTTCTTCTTGGGCATTTTATTACATTTTTTGCTTTGATCACTGTGTATAAGTACTTAAAAAAAGAAGTAGGAAACCATGATCACCGTTCCCAGGCACTAACAATATATACTCATAGTGGGAAGATAGTGATGGCGAAGCTTGGTCATGTTGCGTTACCAATATGGATACCTCGGAGCGGATTTGACTGTTTACTTGGGGCCTTGATCCTAGAGGGTGGTGGCGGTCCCACGGCGGATGCGGAAAACTCGGATATCAGGGCCGAGTCTCTCGCGAACCGTGATTTTTTTCTGGGGGGTAATGAAAAGATATCAGGGTGAAAGAGACTTGTGCAGTGGTGTATGTATCTTTTACACAAGAGACTTACATTGTAGCTTACAGTTAGTGTGTTACTGAAATAGTCCTTTCCAATTGATATTACCGTATTTCCACAAATAGTAGGCCGGTCTACTATTTTTTCAACCTCAACCTAACCCGGCCTTATAATCGAGGACGATCTTGTATTCGAGGATGGTCTTTTATTCTTTCAACCCAGTTTGACCCCGGTCTTCTATTTCTCGCCACACAGTTTTACCCCCGTTCTTCCATTTTCTTCTACACAGTTTGAGCACGGTCTTCTATTTTTTCCCACAGTTTGAGCACGGTCTTCTATTTTTAACACAAGAACAAAGACTCATTTAGTAGGCCCGGTCTTCTAATCGGAGACGGTCTTTTATTTTTTCAATCGCCCCCTGCCCCTGCCTTGTATACGAGCACGGCGTTGTAAACGAGGACGGCCTTTTATTTGCGGAAATACGGTATCCATTGCGAGACATCTGGACTGACGTAGGCTATTGGCGGATGTTTCGTCCGATCTATAATCTCCTTTTCATGGTTATTATTGCGAAGTCAGTCAAACTGAGTATGGGACACCGTTTCTGTCAACTACATCAGGCGGTGGGTAATATCATGCCTCTTGAATCCAGCAACCACTCCAGCAACGACTGGTGAAAACTTTACCATTCCTTTTGCGGACATTTCCTCTCATAGGAATTAGCCCCGAAACGCAATTAGAGTAACAAGAATGATAATAGGTTGGGAGGAGCATGAGTATGCCGTATTCTTAGCTTGTCTCGGCCATGGCAAACGTTGAGCAGTTCGAGTTCATGATGATTGCATACGACTAATGAATAGTTGCGTAGCGGGCCGAAGAATCATCGCTGAATAATTTGACCCGCGTCTTCTTTATCAATTGCTTTTGGCTACTTTGGCACAAGGGACATCGTCCAACACTGGGAAATGTTTCTCTCGCCAATCAAATTGTTGTCCACAGTCACTTGGGTGAATCCCATCACTCGCAATAGTATCGTCCAAAGTGGTTATTTTATGCGCCCGTGCTCCCGTTGTTCCCATATGGAAACATACCTCTACCCAACTATCCTTAGTCCGAATTAAATTATATTTTGACATGTAGGTCACACAGCCAAAATACACTTGTGTGGAAGTTTCGTAATGATAGGGCAATTTATTGATGGGTCGGGACAAGAGTAGATAAACAAGAGTGTGCAACTGCGGGGTGGGTTGGCCCGCGGCGGATTTTTTTGTTGACGAAATCTTTTCGACGATGCACGCGCTGCGAGTCTTTTGGAAAGTTTTGCCTCGTGCACTTTGCCAGGCTTTACATTACAAAGTCGGTGCCCAGCACGTGCTCTCACACTGCTCTGGGGCAAAATGCGCGTTCTTCTGAAAAAAGGTGAGGGCAACAAAAATTCCGCCGCGGGCAGGGGGGGGGGGGGGTATCTGCAGATTGTGCAGAAGAGATCTAGGGTTGCACACTCTTGTTTATCTACTCTTGGTCGGGATGATAAAGGTTTACTGGTCCTGTAATGGTCCCCGTAATGGTCGGCATTCTTTGCTGCCTTGGGACTTAGCCTGTGCACATTTTTGCTGCACTCACCTTTGCCTCATTGGTCCTACCCTAACCTTGAACCTTTCAAGCTGGAAGGCTGTTGGTTTGTACACTGGAGGTGTGTGAGAACTAGATCTTAGGTCGCTGATTGTCTCAGTAGCCTGTTTTTGGCCCTGTTATCACACGTACTGACCGCTTATTATGTTGTTACATTCGTGGATAGTTGCTTCATAACTCTTTTCCAAGTGTTTCCTTCTTCTATTTTCAATTTAATCCTGTCTATATTATCCGAGTACAATGATATATTATTTGGGCTATTTTGTGGAATTTATTCCTGTCAGAAGAAAAGTCTTTCAATATGTAGTCGCGTTTCAAATCCCAAATTTCAAGGTACACACTAGCAGCCTTATTGCTCTATTATCGCATTACACTTGTAGTTCATTGGTCCTTTGTTCTTCCTATCAGCCTTATAGGACACCTTATTGGCTAGGGTTTCCGCAACTAACTGGTTGAAACAAGTATTTACTAAATTCACTCTTTTCTTGCCTCTTTTCCACACATATACAACATCAACATTGCAAAAGAGTACTTTTCAAGTAATTTTCGCAATTGCCGGCAAAGTGCTCAATGCACAAAGTGCAGAGCGTTTCGCACGAATAGGAGAAAGAGGTTCAGTTTGGAATTGAAACTCAAAGTTTCATGCTACTGCAATCATCAGATGACTGATTATATAACCTCAGACTAATCATAATGAATACTAGTAAACACTGTCTTGCTTATAACTGTTAGTGTTGGATACCAACTACGGATAATATGTAACATTTTGGTCCTTTCTTTCAAATCAAATCCTTGGCTCTCCATCCGAGTCTTGTATGCACTGGAAATGATAGTCAGGTGGAGATCAATAGTGCGGATTCATTGTCAAACATGGCATTTGCTACTGTTGCATGTATTTAGCAGGGATTACATCAGGAACAGTCAATGAGCAATTGCGTACGGCACAGCTGCCGCTTTGAAGGTCTCCAAATTAATAATGTCATGCATGATACTTCTCGCTTAAATTGACATTACTCTAGTCTATTCACCAATGAAGGCCAATACCACACAGACGTTATGGATGATGTGACAGTGAGCACATTTTGAGATTCTGCAAATGGTTTCCTATCAAGGGGAGTCTTCTGGGGAAACGAAATGAAGGTGGCTGTTATGAGAGAGGGAGGAAGGGACATGACAAGGTGAACAAATAAAATAATACAGGAACAGCAGAAGCTACTTGCAAAAACTTGGTATACCTTGCACAGAATACTTGTGGTGCAGATAGTGTCTACGCACAGCAACAGTAAATCACCTAGCGGAAGCCAGACAGCGGATTTCTTCTGGCAGCTTATTCCAGGCAACACTGAGACGAAATTGAGGGGATTGAGTGAAGTATGTACCATACTTCGGGAGAATCATAGAAGATGGATGGCGACTACTACGGGATACGGAAAGAGAGAAATGTTGCAACAATGATGGGTATCGGGGGAAAAACATGGTGGAAGTAAGCGAGTCCTAACGTTTGCCGTCGTAATGCAAGTGATTTTTATGTATTCTTTATTATAGTTCGCAAAGTCAAACAGGATTGTTGCCCAATGACGCGAAGGGTGTGTGTGTGTGGGGGGGGGGGGGGGGTGGGGGGAACATTACATAATTATTACCTGTCGTAATCAAATGTGTCAGTACTCAGTGGGGAGGGATAAAAGAGCAGAAGAACGGCAGAAAGCTAAAGGTAGGCAAGGTGTATCACTGTTGTGTAAGCATGTACTCTAATTGGGGAAGTACATTATGATAAAGGCACTAG